ACGGTGCTTCAGTCAGCCCAGGCACCAGATTCCAGGCTGTCCAAGCAGATTTCGCCCATGTTTGGCAAAAAATGACACTGTGTCACACATCGGCAGGGTTCTGGATTTCTGTGGTCCCAGGGAGGAAGACATTTTGCTTGCTGCAAAGTAACGAAAATGCTTTCCTGACCCAAAGGCAATCCAGAGTTCAGTGTTGGGTTCAAGGACAGCATTGCAAACCATCACTGAAAGCACCACAACATCAATGTCTACAGTCCTGGTCATGATTTTTTCCATGGCCATGTCTTGAAGCATGTGTCATACAATAAGACGCTCGGCATTAATGGGTACAACAAGGACTGGTCGGCTCGGAGTCAGTATAATGTGTCTTAGTGGGGTATTCATGCTTCACTGCGGCATGGTATGTCAGTTGGATGGCACTATAAAACCAGCTTAAGTCTGGGCTAGTACAAGAAGCTGCACATACACATACACACGCATGCACGTCGTCATATGAGCGAAATATTATATGTATAAATGAAGGAATGAAGTGTCCAGCATTCGATCACAGATGTAAACAAAACAACACTCGTGGTCAGTATCTGGTATGTCCACCGTGGGCATCAATGCAAGCCCTAACTCTACGACATGCTGAGAAGGTCAGACGCCATATACCTTGGGCAGGGATCCTTCGACATTCCTCTTGAAGGGCTTGGAAAAGCTGACGTCGGTTTCCAAGAACAACGGCTCTAGCACGAATCTGACGATCCAAATGGTCCCACAAGTGTTCAATTGGTGACATGCCAGGTGACCTGGAGGGTCAAGGAACCACATTGATGTTGTTTCTCTGTAGAATATCCATGACAATACGTGCTTTATGAGGACGGGCGTTGTCCTGCTGGAACATGATCCGGTTACGGCGTTGAAGTAGAAATGGTAGCACAACCGGACGCAGAATTTGATCAATGTATCGTTGAGCAGTGAGATTACCATCCACCACAACAAGATGTTTTCATATCGTCACATATGCCGCCCCAAACCATAACACCATCGCCATCAAACAGTTCCATTTCCTGTACACAACAACGTTGCACACGTTCTCCACGGCATCTACAGACACGAGCCCTACCGTCATTCCTGAACAGCTGTAACCTGCTTTCGTCTGAGAAGATGATTCTCTGCCACTGTCTGTTTTGCCACTGGCGAACCGTGCGTGCCTATAGAAGACATTGACGTCAATGTTGAAGCGGCAGCCGTACACTAAGGTAGGGCCTGAAGGCGCGGATACCGTATTGTCAGAGTCGTCGTGCTGCTGTTCATCGACTGATAGGATGTCCAAGCCCATTCGCTGCTGATGACGTCACAGGTAGGAAACGGTTTCTCAGGTGCAGGATACGTCAGTAGCGGTCTCCGTTGGGGTTGGTGACGCGAGGTCTTCCACTTCTGGTCCTGTCTAGTGTCCGCCCTCTTTGCCTGTAGAGGGTCATCAGCCTCATGGTGGTTAGACGTGTACAGCCCAAGGTCGCTGCAACATGTGCATGAGTGGCACCAATCTGTACCATTCCATTGGCTCTCTCTGGATTCCTGCGATAATCGGGGCATGATCGCTGAAGTTGACTTGAAGGTCTGATGTCGAGGAAGGTTTGTGTGCACTCTTATACCCCAAACATGCGCGTGCTTCATGCAATCCATTCACGAGATTTTCGTGCCTCATGACCTGGTGCAGTGATACTGTTCACCCAAACACAACGTTTTTCATGACAAATGTTAGGGAAGCTTTGTGGCGATTGTTTTAAGCTCATAACTACCTACAAAACTTGAGTTCGAGCCCAAATTATCACATTACATTTTGGTATCGTTTCTTTTGCCCGTTTGTTTATATTCGTCATCTAAGTTTGCGGCCAACTTAGTTTCCTTCAGAAGTAATGTGTTCAGTTTGGAATAGTGGCATCTTTTACATCAGATGTTACAGATGGTACTCCCGAGCAACATTGTGGTAGATTATTCAAGGTCTTTGACGATGTATACGTGATATCTGCAGTGACCACATCACGTTATATTTTTTAATGTTCAAACTGGGGGTTTTGAAAGAGGGATATACCTGGGCCTAGTTCCAAGAAAAGACTCCTTTGCTGCAGTTGAGATGGGATTGTGATCTATGTTATCAGCAGCAGCTGTCATATTACAGACAACGTGGTCCTTTTAGACAGAATAGGCTTAATTTTGTGGAAATAGATCATTCTCGTTGTAATTGAAAGCTAGAAATAGCCCCACGAAATAAATCTTTAAAAAATAGAAAGAAATAATGACTGGTCTCCGAGAGGAGACAAGTTTTGATTATCTCCCTTTAATTCCTTAGGGAAGAAAGTTGGACAATTTTCCGCTAATTTGGTTATTTCCATTTTCATTTGTTATTAATTTGTGATGCATATATGATATATATGTTTACTTGTAAGGGTAATACGATTGTTTTGCAGTCCTTTTTATGTACTTTGTTTAATGGCGCTTTTAGATCAGGTAAATTTCCAAATCAGTGGGCACTTATAGTTATATTTCCATTGCATAAAAAGGAAGGATTCACCAAGTAAATAATTATCGTGGTATCTCTCATGGATATTTGTGGCAAACTTTTTAATTTCATTTTGAACAGGCGTTTAAAAGAGGTTGTTGACGTGTTAGACCTGTACCCTGAGTGTCTAGGTGGCAATGGCTTGTCCTCAGTTAAGATTTTTAGCATGAGACTTAAAAATAGATGCTTGATGGGCATTTGGAAGTTGGGAGGTAACACAACAACGTATGGTATGGATTTACAACTTCTTTAATATTTACAACACGACGTTTCTACAACTTCTTTAATATTTACAACACGACGTTTCTGAAATCAAGGTACATGCTTTGATGTGTGTTTTCATATAAGTGTTTTCTTATCGTTGTTTTCATAAGTGCATTCCATCATCCTTCATTGTTTTCATAAGTGGCTTCCAATCAATCCTATCATGTATATCCAATCCTTTACACTGTATAAACATTCTGTGCGTCCTTTGCAAAAACATCTCCTTGAACTCTGTACATCTCATCTAAACACATCACTTAATCTCTGTACATCTCAATCTGTAATACTATCTCACTGGCTTCCTGTACATACTATATATTTTGCTTGCATCATATTCTGTCATTCACCTGATGAAGGGGCAAGAAGTAGCCCAGAAACGTCGTGTTGTAAATATTAAAGAAGTTGTAAATCCATACCATACGCTGTTGTGGACTTCAAAATATTTTTCCAACTCTTTTGTTCAAAATCTTTGACGTTCAGATAAAGCCGATAATTTTGTACGTTTTGGAAAAAAGGGGGTTAAAGAAATGGCATGTTATTGAACAGTTTCATATTAGGTTTTGTGAGTACAGTGTTCTCTGTCAATACCGGCATCACTCGGGACCAAATGAAAATGCCCGTTTTGACAGAGTGCCGGTTAGGCAGGTTGCAAGTTCGCTTATGACGCCGACGCACACAGGAAGTTCACGGTCGTACTGTCACTTTAGCATTAACAACATGTTTGAATAAGAAACAAGGCAGTGGCTGAATGCACATTCATGTTTATTCATTCAAATAAAAACAAGATATATTTTGTTTACTTTGTGAAAAAGTCACTGATCTTACTTTGTATTTTGTGTGCCGATGCCCCAAGTTCTGCACATGAAACATAAGTCGTGTTTCCTGACTGGATGCGAAATGTTTGATCTGGGTGCACATTCTTAAAACTTCACTTAAAGTCAGTTTAGGAAACACATTTTCGTCTTCATCTTCGGCTTCATTTTCGTCTTCATCTTCATTACACTTGGTCTCAGTCTGTTTTACTTCAGTTATCAGATCTGTTTCAAATTCACTCAAATCTGGGTTTTTAGTAGGCTAATGGTCATCACACTGGACATATTAATTGTTTGTACAGCTTGTAAATTCCTTGTTTATCGTTGCCACTAATGTAGCTAGGGGAATGTTGTCGTCTTCTAGGTCGTCACTGCAAACAGTTTCACGCACACCAAATCGACATGAAGCAAAACACTTGCGAATGGTCAGGGTTGTTGGGTGTGAGTTATAAATGCTCCAATGCTGCTGTTTTGGCGGAATGTGGTAGAAAGTATATTTATGCTGATAGTTTATTACGTGTTATGGAGTATTGGTTTAAACATTTACACTTACCACAGGATAGAAATCCAAAGTAGTGCTATATTATGTTACACAATTTAGACACAGTTGGTAGGATATTGTTGTCAGAAATACTTTGTTCAGTTATGGTTTTGGTTTTGTGTTGGAAGCTCAGGGAGTTGGCAACGAGGAACAGCTTTTTTTATTCCAGTATCAAAAATGTATTTTGCTTTGAACAGTTTTTGAAAGATTTTGAAGTAACAGTTGGTGATTGTGAAAGGCAATTCAGATTTTCAAAAATGCACAAATGTTCATCGCTTGATGTTTATTCCAGTATCAAAAATCTATTTTGCATTGAACCATATTTAACTTTATTGAAATCTAAAGATGCAAGGCGTAGAATACCAATCTTACGAATCGGTGCACTTCCAATATATATAAATACCGGTTGGTTTGATGGAGTTCCGATTCACCAAACACTTTGTAATATTTGTAATGATAACTTTGTAAAAAATGAATTTCATTTCCTATTTGAATGTAAAGTTTATCAGGATCTTCGCTGTAAGTATTTTAAAGCATTACCAAATCACAAAGATCAGCAATAATTTTTAACACATTATCATGTACCAATTTTTCAACAGCAACAGATTGTTCTAATTACATTCAGGAAGCATTGTCATTGCGCTCTTTATACATATGAATCTGACTGTCAATTGCCACTATCTTACAATTACACTTGTATATTTTGTATTGTACCTGGGCCTACGGCCTTTTTACGAAATAAACTTGATTGATTGATATTGACATACATAGAGGGAATATTGATTGCAACAAATATACATTCACTGCCATGAGACAGACAGGACAAACACAAAAGTAAGTGAAAAGCCAATGTTTATTTATAAGCTGGGTCATCTTCAGCCAATCAGATTTGATGTTAATCCCTGCTTAGGCTTTAGACACATAGCCGGGGATTGGCTAAGTAGGACGTCCTTGTACATGCTGCCGGTCGTCTTGCTGCAGCTGCTCACCGCAGACACCAGACAGTTCTGGATGACATGAGTGTCACTGAAAACATGCATACACTTCATAAAGTCATCTGTTTCATGTATTTGCTCTGTTGGTGATGGATGTGCACTAGATTCCAAAGAAAGACACAACGTGAAAGCCCCCCATGTTTATTACATCTCATGACATCACGATACCTGTGACGCCACTTCACACTACGTCATAGGTTTGGGTGTGTGCTATTTATAGATCACTGTTCACATTAAGAATATCACCTTCTACGAATCACTGTTAGAAACATTTCCCTTTACATCTACAATAATGAATATGCAATTCTGAGAACTCCAAGAAATAATACATAAAATCATCTCCAAAACTGCCAGAAATAGCTCCCGTTTACAGCTGCGTCTCTCTCTCCTTTCGTGTATTTCCTTGGTAAATTCAAGTGGACAACTCTTGTGGATCGTGGTTACAACATCATTCATTGTGGATCGTTGCTAACTGCCATGCTAATGCTATGCCACGTATTAATTGTAGCCTATATCTTAGATGGATTACTGCATAATGTAACTGCCATATCCTTGTACTATATTCTTTATTAGCATGAATCGTACTTCGTTATACGTACTATATTCTATACTGCGGTACACGTGAAATTTACTGCTTTACTTAATCGCTATGTGAATAGCTAATATAGGATTTAACACTTCAGTTTGAATAATTCCACATGCTGAAGTTTACTTACTCGCAAAGATGCCTCAGGATAATTGAAGCCAAAGAGCGGCGTCTACTGCCGCAAGCTGCTTTAGGTGCCTTCTGAACACACTTGGTGTCGAAATCTGGGAACAGATCAGCAGAAAGGTTCTAAAAAGGTATCAGAGTACCTGCAACATACAAGTTCGGGTGAAGAAGAGGTTCTGCTCAAATATACACGGCTTGAATTTCTGTTATGAAATAGAATTTCTATAAAAAAAACAATGTCATCCTTAATATCGATGGCATGTAAGCAATCTGTGTGTCTACTTTCATACTTTTATAGACAACGAACTCATGCTAAACTACTCACCCCCGATATGACCACAGAGTTTAGCCAAGCCGTCTTGTACTGTCTGGGTGTCGGCCACCGTGGGCTTCATCACGTCATCACTGCATTGCTTCTGTACCTGCAGAGTACAGTTCACTGCCTGCTGGTAGGCCTTCAGATTACTGCCCGACATAAAACGTTACATTGTACACTGTTATTATGCCCTTGATAATGATGTGTACTTCTATAGCGCTAAATTACATACACCAAGTGCACCCTAAAAGCGCTTTTGAGCAGTGATCACTGGATACTAGCGCTATATAAATCCAAAGGTATTATTATTATTATGCTCAAAAAGCATGCAAATCACAATTCATTATTACCCCGGATAACCCAAGCTGCCTGTGAGGCTCTAGATGGTTATAGTCACATGACTTATCCCACCGGGTACCCATTTTCAGCTCGGTTAAAAGAGGCAGTACTGAACTCACTAACTTTTCTAAGGTGAGACCACATGTATAACATGTGCTTCGTTGTGGGTCAGGACTAAAGTCCTAGAAACTCTGAGGCAAGCTGCCTTACAGGGGCACCCATCCAAAAACTCTCCGCGCCCAACCTTGCTTAACTTCAACTGATTTGTGACCTGTTCTCTATACACAGGACCACACGCCACCATATCTCTGTTACACGGATATACTACTCAAATTGCTAGCGATCGCTACTGTAAAAATTAAGAAGTGTACATCTGTTAAAAGAGCCAGACAATATCGGACAAAGACACATTCAAGTAAGAAAAGACCGTTGTCATGAGCCACACAGTTCCCTCAGTGACGATTAACCAGACAGAGACCCGTCCAAATAAGAGTATCTGGCCAAAACTAAAATCAGGAAAACAAATTCATAGTTCAAAAGGAAAAACTCTCAGCGCGTGTGTGATTCACCTGTGACCACAGCCTGAGGCCGACGTCGCGTGCTACAAGTAAGCGTCTTCATTGTTGCCGTTCGTTCCACTCTTCAGTAAAATCATTGCCGAGTTCAAGTAGAGTTACCAAAAGAACGAGCGTCCTAAGATCGAGATCTTCATCTCGTTGCAAATGTGTTGGATTTAGTTGAGGTCTGGTGAAGGACTGCCCACTACATGCGGACAATGGTCTCGTTGGCTAAGTTAGGCAACAGTGTAGTCGTGGGGTATATTATATTACATTAAGAAGACTTCCGGTCCGATTGCACAGCACAGAGTCATGTACACATTCACCATGTCATCACCGTAGCGCACACCTGTCGTCGCCCCCCGCTCAAGGACATGAGAAATGGTTCTTCAGCTCTACTGATCCATACTCTCTACAGCAGTCATGGTTTGTTTACGTTGGAATAACTCCAAATCTTTTTTCTATCTCTGAGCTCGAAGATCTGTGAAGCTTAAACAGTATCTGAAATCATCGAAGTTGAGACCCATTGAAGTCCATCTAGTTGACGTGGTCAACATCATTATCCACAACTGCTACCTTAAGGGCCAGCGATCAAATGTATGTACACGATGGTCTGACATCAGCCTCACGGTGACGATTACGCATGAGTAGGAACGCTAACGCCAACAACGTTCCGCAGTTCATTTCTGAGTGATGGTGTATTGCTGCAATTATGTGCCTGTCTCTTGTGTTGTCAAACGTATTTCACGCCCAGGGGGCATAAGTGCATATAGTCGTTACAAACCTCTGTACTATATTGTGGTTGTGCACTATCATAGGGATGTCAATAATAACGTCATGTCATGACATCTTTCAAGTACCTCATGCACATTGGGTCCATGACTACATGCCTCTTTTGATACGTGTGGAAATCGAGATTATATAGGCGTCACACAATCATTGAGTACAGGGATGTTTCAATCTGTATTTGCTGGATGATGTTTTCGTATCATCAAACGTGGTAATTAATAAACTGTGAGTATCAAATAGAAAAACATTCAGTATTCGATCGTTGTTTCTATAAATTCTTTTCCGGAGAATTTAAAATAAATTACATTTAATTAATTCCTTGTGAGTCAGGTCAGTTGTTTCACCGACCATGTGTAGAAACAATACCATCTATGAAATATTGAAGGTATACAACGTTTTCTCACAATTTGACAAGTTCATATACATGTTTTGCAAGTAATATAAAATGGTGGGTTAAAAAAGATAGCTTCTATACCATCATATTGCTCAAGGGAAACGTCATAGCCTTGAAAACGAGGCAAGTCAATGTTGAAATTCATTAACAGCTACAACACAACTTACCCAAAAATGAGGTTATAAAATAATTACAACCTGCGTATTTCTTGTACAACTAAAATATGATTAATAATGATTCAGATATTATATACATGTATTATGAACAAAAATTACTTAACTTCATGTAACTAGACACAACAATGTGGTAGGGTCATTCAACACTAGGTTTTGACACACTGTCACTAACATTTAAAAGCTGTTAAATTGGTAACATTGTTACCAGGACGTATGTACCTGCACATATTCTTGTTTTGGTCCAGTGTCATAGCGTTCAAGATATACTGACTTGTGGCATCACTGGTCGGTTGTTCCGGGACAATAAGCGTGATCCCATTGTTCATTAAGCATTGAAGGTATCCCTTTCTGACGGTTTGATCGGTGGAACAGTCCACGTGGACTCTGTCAATACTGGTGGCGGCTGAAGAAGGTAATGTAAGTAATCCACAATCACAATCATAAACGATATTATGCCACCTTTAATGTCCACATCCAACAGGTATGTGTTTAAAATGCTTTAAACATATTAATGCAAAATGTTGGTTTTATGTTTTTAAAAAAAGTACCTTGTGGAGCTATAATATTTCACAAAAGGACAATATCATTTATGAGTGAGTGAGTTTAGTTTTACGCCGCACTCAGCAATAGTCCAGCTATATGGCGGCGGTCTGTAAATAATCCAGTGATCAACAGAATGAGCATCGGTCTGCGCAATAGGGAACCGATGACATGTGTCACCCAAATCAGCGAGCCTAACCACCCGATCACGATAGTCGCCTCTTACCACAAGCATGGGTTACTGAAGGTCAGTATTCTAACCCGGACCTTCACGGTTGTATCATTTATGATGTGACTTAGTTGAGTGGAGTCAGGTTGCCAAAAAAATACAAACAAACCATATTAATTTATATCAATTTTCAGTCATCAATCAATTACTCCATTGCTCACGCCAAAATCCTATGGTCGTGATATTCGTTTTCTGGTTTGTCAGTACCATAGCATTTGTCAGCAACAAAGTGGTAAACGTTTTGGGCCCGCACCAATTCGGGCTTTCCTACCACATAAAGTCGATACGCCGGATATAACTTAGATACTGGTAAAAGCTACTTTCACTTCATCCACTTGTGTCTTACGAACCTGTAGACCGAGTGCAACTGCTTGTGTCTGGCAGCGATGCTTCAAACATCTGCAGACTGATCGGACCACAGGCCGGCATCAATCGTCGACCGCACGTTACCATAAGCTGTGATGATCTGTCATGAATACAATAGGCGATCAATATCTGGGTGCCCGTCTGTGTGTTTGTTTGTTGTTTAACGTCGCACGCAGCAATTCTCAAGCTAAATGGCAGCGGTCTGAAAAGTCTGCCCAGACAACCCAAAGACATCAAGAGCACCGATCTACGCAATTGAGGTACGTTGGCATGACCAAGTCACCCGATCCTTACAATCTCCTCTAGCTCGCCGAAGACCAATTTGGACTGGACTTCGGTGGTAATCGTCACTCTGTAATGCACTACAAGGACTGCATTTTATTGAAGCTTTGGATTCAAATAAGGCTACCCGTAAAGATCAGATTGTTTACAGACCGCCGCCATATAGCTGGAGCCGTGGTAAGCTCGTGATATCGTCCGACCTCCGATTTGTTGTTTCCAGAGGTAATTTGATGATATAATTCACATTGCCAGCAAAACAAAATTGGATGAAGATAATCCGAAAAAACTATCATATGCTTGTCGGTTTGGATATGGATGTGGGTGTGGGTGTGGGTGTGGGTGTGGATAAGGATGCTAGAGTGAAGACAAATCTTAGGGCAGAACAGAATTTGAATGCCGAATCAACCAGGGTGACAGGTGTATTCCAAATGACCATTTATTCTGAAGTGTAGTGCAAAAAATCTTTCCTCAACGACAGGCCGTCTCTGAGAAATCTGTGTGTAATCTGGAGTACATGTGTTTTAGGAAAGTATAGTAACTCACGCGCAGAACACTTCCTGCATTAAAACTGTCGTGTTGATGCTGAGTGAATCGCTGATGCTGATGAGGCCGGTGACGTTGGCACAGTCAGCGATTTTCGGCAAAACGTCCTTGAGACAGGTTTGGTTGACCTCTTTAGCAACAATCAATCAAATGCAGCATAGACAAGCAACACAATAACAAAGGGTAGTACTAATAAGTTACGTTCAATGGTCATCTGTTCTGACATGTATGTCTTGTAAAGATAAGAACAAAACTGTGTATGGGTGAGGTTGTTTTGACGACTAGGAGGGCCACCAATAGGCTTCACACATGTACGTATGCTCATCAAAATATCCTAGACACATTTCCATATTCTTTTCTCCTCCAGGGAAGCGAAAGTGTATGATACAAAACAAAGTTAAAGTAAATATATTCTATATTGAAGTATTGTTGATCTCCCGTTGTTAGCCGTACCTACTGTAATGGCCTTACTAACAGTATATTTATAAAATCATACATACTGTCCAAGTTAGCGCAAGAATACTCCTCTGTCTTTCGTATTTTGTCTGCGGATGGAAACATGTCCTTCAGGAAGGGAGCAGGCGGTAGACACTTTTTGGAGACACGATTGCTACACACTGTCGCTTTCACATAGCTGTCAATATCCCTGAAATATGCATTTGTAATGATGTGATTGGGTGGTTTGTTGTTCCACAGGGCACAATATTCTAGATATATGGTGGCGGTCTGTAAATAATCGAGTCTGGACCACACAATCCAGATTTAACAGCATGAGCATCAATCTACGCATTTGGGATACGATGACATGTGTCAACCAGGTCAGCGAACCTGACCACACGATTCCGTTAGTCTTCTCTTACGACAAGCATGGATTGATGAAGACCAATTCTAACCCGGACCTTCACTGGTCGTTATTGTAAGTGAATTCACTTAGAATCATTTGTGCCCTATACGTCAAAGATATTTTAGTCCACTGGATGCTTTTAGTCATAAATAACTTTCGTCAGTTTAAAATATGTGGACTTCGACAATTCAGAAAAATACCAGAGACCCTTAAATCTTCCTTTGAAAAAACTTAACAAATTGCACAATAGGGTCATGAATTAAATAATATCTGGCCCCAGGTGAACCCGATCTTCCCTTTCAAGGACGTTCCAATCTAATTATCTGTGAACATCAATAATATACGTTTGAATTTTATTTTCATTCGGAATTGCCCGTTCAGGTCCCATTTCAAGAGTCCGAACTCGGATATGCTTCTCCCATTTGTTTTGTTCGTTTGCACTGAGAATCTAAAGGCTTTGTGCTGATCAACTGTTCACTTGATGCTGGTGTAACCTCCCATGGAAGGTTCATAAGGTCTGTATAGTATCACAGAATAACTTTAAAACTTTAAACCTTGGTAGTTTCTTTAACAATAAGATTAAATACTGTTGGGTACATGGTATTCGTTGCAGTGTACCGTTTTACTATTTAATAGATTATTTCCGATTTTGAGTTGGTTTCGCAGTCCTTAGTTCTCATTTGGAAACAAACTTCATGTAGAAGACGCTGATGAAGTCGTAGTTAAACACTTTATGCACGTTGTCGTACTTCATTAATTGTCCATACATACCTGCAAAGTTTAGACGCTGAAGTTGGATCGAAGGTCTTCATGATGTTTTCAATCATTTCAGATGCAGATTTCGACTGGTTGTTGAACACACTTACGTTTGGCATTTTGAGAGGCACATTATACACATCCATACACTTCTGATTCAGGTTAAGTATGGATGCTGAATCGTTGCAGTTTACGAGGCCGGAGAGATCAATGATGTCTGTGTCTCCATTATCCCCTGAAACAGTACGCAAAGAGATTAGTAAAATCAGCTTGTAGCACGGAGTAGCTGTTAACGATGTCCCTAGAGGTAGAGTGTACCCTTGGGTTAAACAATTTATCTCACCTGCTAAACAAATAGAAATATAAGCAAGAAAACGTACTTGGTGATTACCGAACTGACTTCAGATACAGCACGGGGCTGTGGGTAGGCTGATTAAGCCATACTCACTCACTCAGATATGGAATCAATGGTGATAATAATGCATAGGAACAAACACAGTATCCTAGGCAACTTAACTGGCCTGATGGTGTACACCTCTCCGAGTGTGAGGATTAATTCCCTTAGACACCCATCTGAGACTAAGTCCCCGTATCTGGTTCAATGCTGGGTTACAGACAGGCACGAAACAATCCTCCAATTCCGCATAAATTGGTGTACACGCTAGTCAAACTGGAGATCGGACTTGTCCCAGAGGGAGACACAGAGCCCGTCCAAGGATTTCTGGAATGCACCAACTTAAGTCTTGAGTGTCCAAAAAGTCCATGAGTACATAGGGGAGGACATGTTGGTAATCATGGACAAGGTCGGATCTATACGTACTGAGGATTTGGTTTGGTTTGGTTGTTATTTAACGCCGCACTCAGCAACATTCCAGTTATATGTCGGACCAGACAATCCAGTGATTAACAGCATGGACATCGGTTTACGACATTTAAGTGACCTGAGCAGATCCGCAGAAACTGAATTGGGCCATCGGATTGGTGGAAATATAATATACTGTAAGATTTTAACTGTTTGCTAATGGGCGCGAAATATGAAGTTTGCAATATTCCTTCTATTTTGGATGATATACGGAACAGTAAATTGTTAAGAATAATGTTAGAGGTTGTAAAAATGCATTCGATATTGATTCATTTTTAGGAAATTATATTTATAAATATTTAACCTCTCATTAATTATTCTGACCAATTTACTGCTCAGGTCACTTAAATGTCAAGGCCCTCTATGGCCGACAAGTGAGTATGATTGCCGATGGTTTTGGTGAAAATGCCTGCTTACTGTCGAGGAAATGATTTGTAGATGTTGCAATAAGTTTTTTAGACCCGTGGAATGCCGCTGCCGATCGAATCTAGCCCTACATAGGTGCTGTCATCGTGGCTGGAATAAATAAACAATATTTAAAGGGGAGTTTTCGCTGTCTTGGGTGATCCATGATTTTGGCTTGAAATTGCGGAGGTAGCTGTTTTCGATGAGTCGTGGCGTTTAACTTTTGAAATAATGATCCGATTGTGACCATTTATAGTTCATTTTGTAGGGAAATCATCTCGCTTTCGATCCACAGGCCTCGACGGGGCCTTAAAAATAGTGTACGTGGTGAAATCTAACTTTGATTGAGGAGGGGGTGGTTCCGTCGTTAAATCCCTTTCCTTTTATATAGTACTAGGGAAGGGTTCATATATACTGAGTCAAAAAAAGAAACTTCACAAAATGTAATTTGAAAAATAATGAATAATTTTTCTCTGATGATACATCTATGTATCCGAAATGGGATCCCTATCTTTCGACTCTAGAAAAACGTAAACAAAACCCACTCAAACCCATCCATTCGTCGTGCAAATGACGTTAGTGCCAAATCAGGTTTTGCACGTGCAGTCGATCACGTGATCTTCGCATCGAAGTTTTCTTCATATGCACGTGTTTGCAATGGACTCAAGAATTGAAAAAACACTTTTAAGCCACAGTTCTAACGGTACTTGAAATGCCACGATTGTCAAATGTGCAACGTGAACGTGCCGTTGGCATGTTGCAAGCGGGAAGATCAGTTATTGACGTCGCAAGAGCAATGGGATGCAGCCGTCGTACCGTGTATGACTTGCGAGGTCGTCTACAACAAACTGGCACCACTTCTGATCGCCCACGTTTGACGTCACGAGCAGAAGACCGTCAAATCGTCCTACGTCACCTACGTGACAGATTTCTGCCGGCTACACGAACCAGGTCTGAGATGTTTAGAGGTCGACTGTCCTCACAGACCATTCGAAATCGGTTGCGGGCTGCCAATCTCCATTCTCGACGTCCATATCGTGGGCCAATATAGACGCCGTTTCATCAACGTCAACGTCTGCTGTGGGCCCAACGTTACCTCCGATGGACCCAGAGAGACTGGAATCGAGTCGTCTTTAGCGATGAATCCAGGTTTACCCTCAGATTCGCGGACGGCAGGCATATAGTCTGGAGACGACGTCGTGAACGGTATGCCCAATGTTGTGTACAGAAAGTCGACAGATTCGGGGGCAGAAGTTGCATGGTGTGGGGTGCTCTCTGTGGGAACAACCGTTCCCGACTTCTGGTCATCCGTGGAAACCTCACAGCTGCTGCTTACCGCGACCAGGTGCTCACCCCTCAACTCGTTCCTTTCATGGCGGCTCATGGCCCAGGTCTACAGTTCCAGCATGATAATGCTCGGCCGCATACCGCGATGTTGACACGAATTTTCCTTCAAAACGCTGGAATCAACGTCATGGACTGGCCATCGAGGTCCCCTGACCTTAATCCAATAGAGCACGTTTGGGATGCACTTGGGAGAAGGCTTCGTGGTCTTAGGAACCAACCTCAGAATTTGCAGGAACTTGGCGCTGCCTTGCAAGAGCAATGGCGCAGAATCCCCAACCACGTGTTCACAAGTATCAGGCAGTCGATGAGGAGACGGTGTTTGGCAGTGGTGAATGCGCGGGGCGGCCATACACGATATTGAACTGCGAAATTTCGCATTTTTATTCTTGTGACTTGACATTCTGTATACCCAGTTTTGGAACGGCGTTGTAGCCTAATGGAACTGATTATGGCACTGTCAGTGTATCGAGTACATCACACAGATCTCAGCAGTGAAATAATAACAATTTAACCATCTTACCATCTCTTGTTCTTTTATAGTGCCCTGAAGAAAGAATGTGAAGTGGTTTTTTTTGACTCAGTATACCTATATGTCTTTCTAACGCTGTTTCTAAGCGTGACACGCCCCTGTGGTACTGAGGACTGCAGGCTAAAGACCAAGTCCAGACTTAAGACAATCTGGAAAATAAATCTGAGATATTCTTTATCGAGTTCTATGAGATTAGCATGTCCTGTGAGCCCGAGAAAGATGCTTTATCTGAAATGTGGCAGGATTGAAAAGTCAATACGTGGATGAATTGTTGACCAGCTCTGGGAAGATCGGGCTCATACTTATTTTGGATGCAGGTTGGAGTTTATTGTATAACGCCACACTCAGCAATGTTTCAGCTATATGGCGTCGGTCTGTAAAAAAATTGAATCGGGACCAGACAATGCAGAGATTGTCACCATGAGCATCGATCTATGATAAAATTGTATGCATCAAACAACCAGCGAGCTTGACCACCCGAACCCGCTATTCGAATCTTACGAAAAGCATTTGTTGCTGAAGATCAATTCTAGCCCGAACCTTCACAGGTATGCAAGTTAGAGACAAACTCTAGAATGGCCATTCTGGACAAAGGACAAGCCTGGGGCAGAATAAATAAAACAGACATAAGAAACAAAATCTGCAGTTGAGCGCACGCAATAAAGTGGAAGTCACAAATACTCGTGCTCTGCCCTTGCTTCCATATTCTTATGCTGCTATTGACGAGAAAGAAATAAGTGAAATTTTTATGGCTATTCCCCGAAACACCTGAGAACAGTTATGGCCTCATGCCTCTTCACCCTGCTTAATTTGGACCAATAAGATGGGTAACTCCTGGACACTACCGCCGTGAATAGCTGTAATATAGCTTATGCAGCGATCAGCAATAATCATGAACTCTCACCTCAATACCAGGCGTGCATAGGTCTCTTGTATGAGTCGACAGATAACGAGGCATTTTAATGACTGTATGACACATAAACCTACCTGAAACTGTGGAAAAGAACAAGAACAAGAAAAAGTAAAACAGCGGCATGGCTCCTATTGTCTCCTCACAAGAAAAGATCCTGTACATAAATATATTGTCTTAAATAGACACGGCTATCTGAAGAAAGATTAACACCTGTGAGACTTTATATTGATTGAATACTTGACCCAGTAGTTACGAATTCTAACCCTGACAAAAGATAACGGAATTGTGAAATTGTGTTCATGACAATATCTAGAAAACAACCAAATTTTAAAAGTTGACACTTTTTAAAAATGAAATCTACATGAGAGTGAGTGAGTGAGAAATGGGCTTCACACATTGCACACATGTGGGGAATCGAACCCGGTTCTTCGGCTTTAACGCTTTAACCACCAGGCTACCCCACAGACCCAAATCTACAAGGGAAGCAGTGTTTGCATTATTATGGACAATTCATGTGTATTACACTGTTATCTTGGAGGATACAATAAAGACGGTGGGAATTGGATTGAAACATTATAATAATGGGAAAATAACGGGTGACGTTCTATGACCACGAGGAAATAGGATAGGCCGTGTGTAGGTCGTCTAGCTCGGATAGCTGTACTGCACAATCAATTCCTGATGTCCAGGCTGTTCCTGGCATTCCACCTCTGAACCATTGTCTGCCAGTGGAAGTTGCAGTCACAAATCTGTTTTCTGCCACATTTTGGTGTTACATCACTCACGATGATGGTTGAGTCGAGGTATACTCATATATTTGACTGAACGTGCAAGTTTGATGCATTTTCCTGTCTCTGGGCATACATTCCAATGCACGTGCATCGTTAAGAAATCATTCTCAATATAAGTGCACAATTACAAAAAATTCACGTCGTCTCCATATACAATACATTTTCCGGTAAATGCTTCATTAAAACTTAACAATATATGATTGATTTAAATTGATATCGAAGTGGCAACATAATAATTAAAGTTAGTGTCACACTTTGCAGTCCATATTTGTAAGAAATGCTCCAGCTAAGAAAGAACTTGTCAAAATAGGAATGTCGCCAACAGGAGATGGTATATAGACTACGTTAGTGAGATGACATGCTGAGTTGTGGAAGAGGAAACAAGTGTCGAATGACAGCACAAGATCTATTCAGACAACTTTTAAGAAGTCATACTGTTAAGCGTTTTCTTAAATTTTACCAAACAAATGAAATGTTCTATGTCGCTGTTTTTATGTATTTTACGTTATGGACTAAAATTCAGCTGAAATTCAATTCTAACTTGCAGTAAACATCTGTATTATCGCGTAGTTAGTTTATTTATTTGTTTAATTGAAAGGAAAACAAAATGTTTCATATCATTAAGGTGTCTTTACATCCTTGAGTTTAACAAATTTCTATTAAGATATAACCGTATTGTTAAGGATGCATTTTACGTTATGGCCTTTCTGGCAAAATGGGGATCATAAACACGCGTCACATCATACTAATGGTTGGTTAGGCGCTAATGATACCAGCAAATGGAGAAATCTGCAAAGTCATGCCAAATATACTCTCCCCAAAAAGAAACGCATATAGGAATTTCAACTGTATTTTTATGTTTATTTTGAAACATCTTGTAGGCTTTATGAGTCAATGAAATATAGCGAAATTGCACACGGTGAATGCAGACTTATCCGTCTTTGGCACCAAGTCGAGGAAAGTCAGTTTGAGTGTCACATGGAGACGTGTGGTGGCGCTGAAGTCAATACCTCGTGTGATCACCGTGGGCATCCAGAACTGCACGGCATCGCCTCGGCATCGAACGAATAAGTCTCAGAATCTCGTGTTGCCCAATCGCAGCCCACTCTGCCTGAAGTGCCTGTGCGAGTTGCTGAAGTGTCTGGGTCTGAGGGTTACGGCGTCGCACCCGTCTGTCCAGGGCATCCCATGTTCGATCGGGTTTAAGTCCGGTGATCTTGAGGGCCAGGGGAGCACATTGATGTTGTGATTCTGGAGGAAGTCTCGAGTGTGACGTGCTGTGTGGGGCCTGGCATTGTCCTGTTGAAACAACTCCCTCTGGCGATCAATGATTGGAAGGAGGTGTGGGCGTAGGATTTCGTCACAGTACCGTTGAACTGTCAGGTTGCCCTGGATCATCACCAAATCACTTCTCCTACGGCAGGTGATCGCTCCCCACATCATAACACTTCCCCGGCCAAATCTGTCTACCTGGGGAACGCAAGCGTCGGCGAAACGTTCACGTCGACGTCTGTACACCCGCATTATTCCATCGCGTCGTTCCAATAGAAATCGTTATTCATCACGTGATTCTACGCCAATTCGGTAGGTTCCAGGCCTGAACGTTGGTGCACCATTGAACTCGATGTCGACGATGTTGTTGTCGAAGCACAGGGCCAAAATAAGGTCTTCTGGCACGTAAACCAGCCTCTCTCAACCTGTTCCTGACGGTCTCTGCAGAAAGCCTCCTCAATCCGGGTATTTGTCGAGCGGTACTGGTCGCCGTAGCTGTTCGATGACGCAGGTGATGTACCCGGATGTAGCGATCCTGCGCCGCAGTGGTCGCTCGAGGTCGCCCACTACGAGGGGCATCTGCTACCGCATTCTGCGGGCGATATCTCTCCCAGAGCCGTGAAATGGTGCTTTGGTGAACATTCATGCGTCGGGCAACTGCCCGTTGAGACTGGCCAGCTTCAAGCAAACCAAAGGCGATATGACGGTTGGTTCACTTAGACGTGGCATTTTGCGTTCGTCAACAATATTCCAAATACAGTGAATAATCGACAGACAGCGATCAACCTTTTACACCCATCATTGAGACTATCTGATCCCCAACTTTCACGTGCATTGCATGTGAATTGTGTATTCTGTGACACTACACGCCGAAATTGAAAATCATGCTGTTAAATACGGGTATTTTACGGATGGTGCGTTTTGTTGTGATGTTTCAAAACATAAACACCATAGTACTCATAAACAGAGCAAAACCTTTCGTAAAATGAATCACCTTTAATTCATTGCTACATGAAATTGCTATTTTCATGATGCGTTTCTTTTTTGGGAAAGTATATATCAGCTGGCTACCAGCGCACACCGTCATTTGTATTTCAGGTTATGTATACTCTGCAAAAAAAGAAACGCACAGGTGAAAACTCAGGAATGTAAACACTTTATTTTGTTTCCAAATAAAACTTTAACTAATGATCGCACGAACGTAAAATTTCACATGGATGTTGTCAAGAGTCAGCTTTACAACATGCAGCTATCATTTGTCTCTGAAACCATTGCACCGGGCGTACAGATGGCGTGGAGGTCAGTACCTGTGGTGACCACCTCGAGCTTGCAACACAGCTTGGCACCTCCTGTCCATGGACATGATCTGTCTTTGAATCCGTGCTTGGGGGGATCCTCCTCCATTCCTCCTGCAAGGCTTGAGACAGTTGTTGCAACGTTTGGGGTTGAGGCTGACGACGTCGAACGCGTTTCCCAAGCTGGTCCCACAAATGCTCTATTGGGTTCAAATCGGGGGATTTTGAAGGCCAGGGAAGAACTGTGATGTTCTGATTCGTCAGGTAGTCCATCGTGATGCGAGCCACGTGCGGTCTGGCGTTGTCCTGTTGGAAAACGTGACGTTGAGGGTTGATGACAGGTAAAAGATGACGTTGCAGAATTTCATCCCTGTAACGAATTGCAGTCAGGTTACCACGGACGTGCACCAAGTCACTTCTCCCGTTGTAAGAAATGGCCCCCCATACCATCACACTTCCCCCTCCAAATCTGTCCGCTTCAACTACACAATTACGGGCGTAACGTTCGTTTCTCCGTCTATAGACCCTCGTCCTACCATCGTGTCTTTGAAGTTGGAAACGAGATTCGTCGCTGAACCAAATTCGCTGCCAATGTCTCCAATTCCATCTCTGGACGTTCCTGCACCATCGAACACGTGCCAGGCGATGATGAGGTCGTAGTGTGCATCCTACGTGAGGTCGTCGAGGGCGTATCCCGTGCTGTCTGAGGCGATTTCTGATGGTCTGGGCGGAGACGCGGCGAAGACCTGGGACGTTCTCTGCTGTTTGTGTTGCTGGGACGGCCCGGTTACGTAAATGGAACACCCGGATGTAGCGGTCCTGTGCAGCATTGGTTACCCGCGGTCTACCACTCCGAGGTCGGTCGCGGGTCGAGCCCAGTTGATCGTAGCGCCTCCATAAACGGGAAATTGTTGTGTGATGCACGTTGAAGTGTCTTGCAACTGATGACTGAGATTCGCCAGCTTCAAGACGTCCGATGGCGATGTTCCGGTCAGCTTCGCTAAGTCGTGGCATGTTGAATTCGTCAGTAAACTGGCGTTGAAAGTGAATTGAACACGTTAAACTGCCTTCCTCATATACCCTACACACTGGTGCATAGGTGAAGCAACTTTCACGTGCATATCGTTCGAAGTGTCATTTACACGTGAAAATTTCATGATATTTTCAAAAACCATCATCAAACAACAATATTTCATGAAATGGTGTGTTTGAGCGATACTTAATGGATATGAACAAGTATACATTATGTTTGGTTAAAGTAACCGGGTTTTGTTTGCATAGAAATAAAATAAAGTTAATTTTAAATTTCATTATCACCTGTGCGTTTCTTTTTTTGCAGAGTATATTTTACGTTCTGTTTATTACGTTATATATTAATTGTTTATGCATGATAAGCTATATACATTATATCCAGGGGGATAAATTATCAAATATTGGTTGTAACATACATAAGTGAGTTAGCGCACTAGCCAATACGATACTACGATACGATGCTCATGTGAAAAACACTGGTAATATGAACCTGTAAATTTGAGGAAATCTTAAAAGCTGTGTAAAAATTACATGTGCAATTTGCCGTTACCGGCAATGAGCGTTATCAGTTGGAAGTCACTTAGGTGTAGTTAAGGCTAAAAGATAGTCGCGTGTAAGGCCAAATGTTTTTTCCACGAACATAAATGTTTTTCATAACGTAAAATATAAGATTCATAACGCAATATACAATCAAACCTACTTCCATCCCTATTAGATATTATACTACAGACAATGTTCAGACAGTGATTTTTATTTCTAAGAGTCTATGACTATATAGTCTTGATTATAAATGAAGACAATTTGAATAATTACACATTTAATTGTTTAAACTGCAGTAATCAGTTATATGTAAAAAATCATGAATTACATTTTTTGGACCATGATAGCAAGAAATTAGGTTTGAATTGGATGTTAAAAAATCACAAGCATTGTCACTAAGGTGACATAATCCCCCGCCGCAAATATCAAATCAAACTTATAAAGTAATGAAAGTTTAAAATGAAGTTAAATGTCAACAAAAACATGACCAGTAAACCCCTCTTGATATCTTGCTCTTTAGGTGTTCAAACACACACATATTTTCAAGACTGACTTTGACCTTGACATGGATGTCATAATGTATGAAATATGCAAAAATAGTACTAAAGAAATTGCTTATTTAAATATATTCAAGGGAAGTCTTGAAAGTCTATGAAGAAAATCCAGTGAACCGTTCTCGAAATATCTTCCTGACAATTCAGGTTAACATGCCGAAATCTTCAAAGTGTCGTCGTGACCCTGAAAATTAAGTGAAGGTCACCAAAATTGACTGAGCCCTGGGCCTTCCCTAGATGAGGCTTGGTGCCAAATATGAAGAAAGTCCAGTGAATATTTCTTGCGATATCGTGATGACTATCTTAACATGCAATTTAACATGCTGAAATCTTCCAAGTGTCTCTGTGACCTTGAAAATTAAGTGAAGGTCACCAAAATTGACTCAGCCCTGCACCTTCCCTAGCTTGGTATTGAATATGAAGAAAATCCAGTGAACGGTTCTTGAGATTGCTTAACATGCAGGTAAAACGTTAAAGTCCCCTTGTGACCTTGAAATGAAGGTCAGGGTCACCAAACCTGACTTGGACCTTTCTTATACTGTGATGAACCTAGGTACCAAATATGAAAAGAATCTAGTCAACTGTTCTTAGATGTTCAAATTCGTACGGACGGACGGAGCCTAATACTATATCCCCCGCTTCGTGCTAAACGCGCGGCGGGGGATAATAAACGTAGTTTACAAATACGTGACTTTTGCACCATGCAACCTCTTATTCCAACTTTCGATTTTTTCGAAATTCATATTTGTAATTGTGCACTTACATTGAGAATGAGTGTAAGGCGATCACGTGACTCACTGCATTATCACGTTGCCAAGACCATGTTCAAACCAATATTACTACCAATAATGTGGGTGTGAATGTTTCTAAGATTCTTGTGTATACCAGTATGAAAATAAAACGAAACTGGATTCGTTTATAATGACACTAGCAAATCCACACATTTTGTCGCTTACTTTAGGTATCCGTCGACATTTTTTGGGCTTTGGAAAAGATTTGCTGTTTTTATCATGCCGATATGCTGACAGTACATTGCCCACAAAAATCTTTTCTAAACAAATCTTTTCTATCTACGAAAATGTTGCATCATTGTTTCGTATAGAAACGTTAAAAAAAATCCAAGTATTCCCAATGTTTATCAAAATCTATCAATCCGATGTACACAACCACGCCCTGGCATCTACTTGTCAAATGATAACTGGAGTGAGGGAAGGAACTCCGATTTCCTTTGCTGATCCGATTTTTTGAAATTCAATCGACACACCTACAGGCGTCATTCAGTTCCTCCTGCCAGGCGTCGTCACGCCGAAGACCCGGGTTCGAATCCCCACATGGGTACAATGTGTGAAGCCCATTTCTGGTGTTCCCCGCCGTGATGTTGCTGGAATATTGCTAAAAGCGGCGTAAAACCAAACTCAGTCAGTCAGTCCTGCCAGGCGATGGCACATGGCACTTGAAATAGTAAAGGTTATCAGTGCCGTCTTATCTTAAACAATTCAAACGTTTATCTTTGCGTCAGACCTGAACGATTTGTGAGTGAGTGTGTATGATTTTACGCTTATTTTACCAGAAATGGGCCTCACACATTGTACCCTTGTGGGAAATCGAACCCGGGTCGTCGGCGTGACGAGAGGATGCTTTAACCATTAGGCTACCCCACCGATCCGAACCATGTGTGCCTTCTTGAACGTGCCATGACGGTATTAACGGTCCTTACAAATACAAAGGATGCATAGATGCACAATAGTTATTTATTCGTAGAGTTTGCAGTGCTTCAAACAAAAGTTGTCTTACGGTTCTCCTCCCACGTTAAGTCATTGCTATATTTTTAGACCAGTTGACCTGCATGGGCGTATAAAGACATACACAATGAAACATAATAATTTCCTGCTTTTCGCTTCCCGACCAACGGGTGTTTTCCTGTATGAAATCCGTAAAGATAGTAAAACAAAGTCTGGCCTTCTGTAATATATGTTTTGATGATAATGACAATAAGGCTGTCACGATTAGCCAGCCAGCCAATATACTGAGTTTCCTTCGTCGTGCTTCTACAAGAACCTTAACCATAATCATACGAAATCTCTAACAGAAGTCAGTTTTAAGATTCCGTCATATAAAATAAATCATGTTATGGCTCACTGCCGTATAGCGGTAACACCAGGTGCAATCACGTCAGCGTGTCCTGCCACATCGGTGTCACAAACACATGCAAACCTAGTCAACTGTTCATCTGAATGCACTAAATACGTGCGATAATCGTCAACAGGAGGTTAACCCCTCATTTACCTCTCCTTATGTTGAGGTTTTATTGTTCAATTTGATTGCACCGACAATGCTTCTTAATGAGGAAATGACTCAGACACCACTGTTTATTTGATTAATAAAACGTAATCAAAGGATGTAATGCCCCTGTGTCATTACTAAATGTACAGAGCATACTGTCAACATTCCAATGTCTACACAATACATTCTAATACAATGGTGCTGGAAATGTGTCCGTGTGTGTGCGTGTGTGTGTGCGTGAACGTGCACAAGACTTATACTTGAAATAATACTGAATATATAATTAGTCCCATTTGATTACATTACCATTAACGTCTAACGGTCAAATCGGTAAAGCGTGTTCGAAAAAAAGATCCCAAATAACCTTTAAAACACATTCCTTTAGTAAAACTACATATGGACACAGATGCTTAATACATCGGCAATTTACCACATTGTTTGACAAACCCAGATACATAATCAGAGCGAAACGGGATTCGAACCCAATAGTATAGCTTTCTGGCACGCCTGAGGGATGACACTCTCCTCAGCGAACTGGTCGCCTGACACGACTGGGCCAACGATGACGTTTTTAAGAAAACGTATCAACTGAGATAGCATATCTTAAGTATCTGTGAAGAACATCGTAAAAAACATAAGAGAAATAGAACTGATCCAGGAACTGGCATCAAAGCACATCATCATTCCATACAGTAATAAAACCTTCCTGGTATAACTTAGCGTCCACGTTCGCACCTATATCGAATACTGGCTGGAGAAGCAAGTGGAATCTATTTCTTGCAATCTTTCCTGTGAACTGACCAATCCTTTCGTTGGCATTCTCTGTTGCAGTAGGCCACTTTCAAACATCCTACGCATCTCTTGCACTGACTAGATACTTTTCCACAGCTGTTGCAACGATTGTCTGTCGCTGTGGTGTTCTGGTTGGGGGGTTCCTGTCTTTGAGTATCCACTGTAACCTGGGCTGTGTTTCTTTAATTCGTTGTAAAGGTCATCGACTTTTTCCTTTGAGCTTCCTTTACTGTCCATATCGCTCAGCATCCTATGAATCTGTCGTTTTGCATCTGAACAACAATGAAAGATGGTGACACTGTTTAGCATCTGCATCATCACTTGATGTTATAAAGCTATCAAATGTGATCATTTTATGGACGAATAATCTATGTGATCCTTAAAGTTACGAAGTTCATATGGAATACTTTCCTTATTTACAGTCCTGCATTTCTGGCAGTCAGTATGTGCTGTTTGATTTTTAAAAGGAATCGGATACCTGAGAACAAGGTTCTTGCCCACATTTATGTGATGTGGCTGCAGGCAAGAAATACGTACCTTCTGGGTCTGCTGGGAAATCTCCATATTTAGCACTTAGATTCACTTCATTCACCAATATCCGAAATGAGAGGTAGTTGAAGCGAGGTCGGACATAGGTTCTGACCTTCCAGGAGACCTGGTCGGACTCTTCCTGTTGAAGACGTGAACTGTTCAGCCTCAGTATCCGGGCCAACAACTGATAACCCTGCGGAACAAATATCTAACATACAGCCGAACTCATATGCAGTCAATTAAGCAACACGACTAACCGATCATAAAGTCAGACGTGATAAAGAAGCGGCCATTTTGTCCGACATCTTCAATACGACGTTTCTAAGGGGATTAAAAGGTCACTGAAAAACATCAGTATCTCAGAAACCTGACGGTCAAGGTCAGAATTGGTCTCCAGGAACCCATGTTTGTGTTAAAAGGCAACTGATAGGATCGGGTGGTCAGGTTCGCTCACTTCGTTGACACGAGTTATCCTCCCTGCTTTCAGCAACGTCCAAGCTTTTTCAAAGTCATACCACGTGACAAATAAAGTTAGCTTCTCCTCCCACACTTTCATCCCCTCCACGTGGAAAACCCCTGCCCACTTGTATATTTCGTCTGGACTATAGCGAAGCATGGGGATACCCAGGACCTTGGTCTGGAGAGAGAAAGGTTCATGGTAATTGATAGTACTAGCTCCTCGTTGCTTCAAGACATTCATCGAAGTGACAAACCACTCCATAGAACTATGAATCACACAAAGAAATATTCTTTGTGGAAAATCATACTTCAACAAAAAAATAATAAAATAAACAATTTTAATCACTTCCTTCTCTTACCAGTACTCAGATGACGCCAAACTGTATCAATTTGTACCTGACATCATCTAAACGTTTAATGATTTATGCATGTATATGAATATATTAATATATTGATATCCATACCTGTACGTCATGTAGCTGTATTACTGTAAACCGCATGCATCGCGGCTTTGCATATCTGTGATATTGTAATCTTGCGAACCAATAAAAAAACAAAGCCAAAGAAAGAAAAAAAACACTATTTTTCATACAATACACCGTACCTACACTTTTCCTTTTTTTAAAAAGAGTTTACAAAGTTTATAATATTTATTTTAACGGAATATCAAACTCTTTGAAAATGATTTTGAATCAATTTCAAATGTCAACGCCTACACTGCTCCTGTTACTTCCTACCGCATCATAGTTTACTCTGCTCCTGTTCTTGGTTACTACCTCAAGACCTACCCTGCTCCTGTTCTTGGTTACCTCAAAGACCTTGGTTACCCTGCTCCTGTTCTCGGTTACTACCTCAAGACCTACCCTGCTCCTGTTCTTGGTTACTACCTCAAGACCTACCCTGCTCCTGTTCTTGGTTACTACCTCAAGACCTACCCTGCTCCTGTTCTTGGTTACTACCTCAAGACCTACCCTGCTCCTGTTCTTGGTTACCTTACCTCAAGACCTACCTCAAGACCTACACCCTGCTCCTGTTCTTGGTTACTACCTCAAGACTTACCCTGCTCCTGTTCTTGGTTACTACCTCAAGACTTACCCTGCTCCTGTTCTTGGTTACTACCTCAAGACCTACCCTGCTCCTGTTCTTGGTTACTACCTCAAGACCTACCCTGCTCCTGTTCTTGGTTACTACCTCAAGACCTACCCTGCTCCTGTTCTTGGTTACTACCTCAAGACCTACCTTGCTCCTGTTCTTGGTTACTACCTCAAGACCTACCCTGCTCCTGTTCTTGGTTACTACCTCAAGACCTACTACCTGCTCCTGTTCTTGGTTACTACCACCCAAGACCTCAAGACCTACCCTGCTCCTGTTCTTGGTTACTACCTCAAGACCTACCCTGCTCCTGTTCTTGGTTACTACCTCAAGACCTACCCTGCTCCTGTTCTTGGTTACTACCTCAAGACTTACCCTGCCCTGCTCCTGTTCTTTCTTGGTTACTACCTCAAGACCTACCCTGCTCCTGTTCTTGGTTACTACCTCACCTGGTTACTACCTCCTTGCTCCTGTTCTTGGTTACTACCTCAAGACCTACCTTGCTCCTGTTCTTGGTTACTACCTCAAGACTTACCTTGCTCCTGTTCTTGGTTACTACCTCAAGACTTACTCCTGTTCCCTGCTCAAGACCTAACCTGTTCTTGGTTACTACCTCAAGACTCCTGCTCCTGTTCTGGTTACTACCTCAAGTTCCTCCTGCTCCTGTTCTTGGTTACTACCTCAAGACCTACCCTGCTCCTGTTCTTGGTTACTACCTCAAGACCTCAAGACCCTGCTCCTGTTCTGGTTCTACCTCAAGTTACTACCCTGCTCAAGGTTACTACCTCAAGACCTACCCTGCTCCTGTTCTTGGTTACTACCTCAAGACCTACCCTGCTCCTGTTCTTGGTTACTACCTCAAGACCTACCCTGCTCCTGTTCTTGGTTACTACCTCAAGACCTACCCTGCTCCTGTTCTTGGTTACTACCTCAAGACCTACTCCTGCTCCTGTTCTTGGTTACTACCTCAAGACTTACCCTGTTCTTCTGTTCTTGGTTACTACCTCAGAGACCACCCTGCTCCCTGTTCTTGGTTACTACCTCAAGTTCACCTTGTTCACTACCTCAAGACCTACTACCTCAAGACCTGCTCCTGTTCTTGGTTACTACCTCAAGACCTGACCTTGCTCCTGTTCTTGGTTACTACCTCAAGACCTACCCTGCTCCTGTTCTTGGTTACTACCTCAAGACTTCAAGACTACCTCCTGCTCCTGTTCTTGGTTACTACCTCAAGACCTACCCTGCTCCTGTTCTTGGTTACTACCTCAAGACTTACCTTGCTCCTGTTCTTGGTTACTACCTCAAGACCTACCCTGCTCCTGTTCTTGGTTACTACCTCAAGACTTACCCTGCTCCTGTTCTTGGTTACTACCTCAAGACCTACCCTGCTCCTGTTCTTGGTTACTACCTCAAGACTTACCCTGCTCCTGTTCTTGGTTACTACCTCAAGACCTACCCTGCTCCTGTTCTTGGTTACTACCTCAAGACTGTTTGGTTACTACCTCAAGACCTACCTGTGTTCTTGGTTACTACCTCAAGACCTACCCTGCTCCTCCCTGTTACTCCTCAAGACTTGGTTACTACCTCAAGACTGCCTCAAGACCTACCCTGCTCCTGTTCTTGGTTACTACCTCAAGACTTACCCCTCAAGACTTGTTACTACCTCAAGACTACCCTCTCCTGTTCTTACTCCTGACTCCTGCTCCTGTTTTGGTTACTCCCTCAAGACTTACCTTGCTCCTGTTCTTGGTTACTACCTCAAGACCTACCCTGCTCCTGTTCTTGGTTACTACCTCAAGACTTACCCTGCTCCTGTCCTCAGCAACAACATCAACGCTTAGCTTTGTCCATTCTTGGTGACATCATCAATTCTTACCCTGCTTCTGTTCTTGGCGACACTTTGCATTAGGAACTGAATGACGCCTTGTAATTGATGTCCGACTTTGGGATTATCCAGCTCCAAGATAGACTTCTTCTTGTTGATTGGGTAGATACGGTAAAGGTACGTGTGAATCAGTTGCCTTCCAAATGTGGAATCTGGGAATTCCGGCAGCCGGGTTACATCAGCACAGGAGAGGGCCTGTTTTGTGAGTATTCGGTCTCCAAATGCCAGCTCCTCATCTTTGAAGAATGTGCTCGTAATAAAACTACGTTTCCTTGATAATTGGGTCTTGCTTGTGTTCAAGGAAACAGCGCACGAAAAGTTTATCTCAGTCTGGAACACGACAGTGCTGAAAGAACACATAATTACATTGAGTAAAGTACAGTATCTGATTATTGTCACTGCATGTAAAGTTAATATTGAAGGCATAGTTTGAGGAGCATCTATTTGATTTCTAGGGGGAATGGGAAGATCTTTGAGCAGTTTGTCCAGAAACATGACAAAAGCATTAATAGTCTATTGGTAGCTTTGAAAAATCTGTGTTGTGTGACATTTCATAGTGAGTAATATATTTATATATAATTTGATTTCACGGAAATACAGATGTGTACAACGGATAGCGATGGTTAGACTCTTTGCTGGACGTGTGAACATTCTAACTCTAGTATGATGACATTGATGTATACTAGCAGTATGTGGCTGCACTGAAAACTCAAATATGCGCAATGTCCTTCACAAGATTACAATCTTCTGTGTTTACGTATTTAGTCGAAATTATGGAAAACACGAAAACAGACATATACATTTAGTGCAACAATGGATCGTTCCCCCACTACCACTCAAACAGTTGCCCCTCAGGTTGCATCATCACTATGGTAATCCCAAATAGACAAACCAAGAATCATGATAGGGCCAATCCCAAATTAGTTGTTCTCGTACACAACATATAACTTTCTATAACCAACTAAGGCGAACCAGTGCTACCAATAACTTTCACACTGTCAAGGTACCTGCGTGCCTTATATATAAGGTATATATGGGGAAAACAAATGAAGTAACACAATCCTTTCTATATTCATCAGATAAAGTCAACTGTTTGATTCTCACAACGAAATGTGCATGTGAGTCGATACCCTGTATGTCATAATTCTTGGACTGTAATAACGCAGATGGAGACATTATACTATACTCGTCCAAACCGGGGAAACGGAACTTTCAATTTGGATATTATGTAAACAAACTTTTCAAAGACAGACATTTTATGAACGCACCACCATTTTTCTTGATCACCACCTCTAAACGCAACGCATGGGATGCACGTGCACAACGTTCCCCTACTTTTTTTAAGAGTGTATTTACACGTACCCGGAATCTTCGAATGTGTACACAATGGCGAAGTGGTTGTCGCTACTGTAGTCACAGGTGAATTTTCCTTTCATCTGGTCAAGACTGGCGTTGACCTTTACTTCATAACGATCCATGTACTCTGTTATGCTCTAGGTCCATGCAAGGTAATAAAACATCAGTCCATGGGTGTTCAGCAGATTCACATTAAGTGCAATTAAAAAATAATTTTATTAAATTGTTCGTCCTGGCAATTTAAAAGGCAAGTGTACCTTCGGGATTATCAGTTTTTAATGTACAAAAGACAAATTTGGAACGGAAAATCGACTCACGGGAAAAAGGTTTGCTTCGTGACATTTGAATTATATGGAAGGTGGGTGTGCCTTCAGAGCTCGAAATGGTGCAAAAGTAAATAATGTGTAACAAGACCTTTTGATCTGACACGCTCAACGCCTCCATCCCCGTGTCCACAGTAGCATTAGCAGGGGCCTTCAGGAACCCTGACAACAAAACTTCGATTCAGATGTGTTCCCAGCTGGTTCAGTGTGTTGCTCTTTTCAAAGATTATACATATTTTTAAGAACAAGCGCTTACGCGCATACATAGTACTAGAATGCAATCACTTCTCCCAAACTATGATTACTTTCCAGCACTTCAATTACTTGCGGATTTTATATCACAATAAAACTCCACCATATTTTCAACCTGACATACGTATTCCCTGACTCCTTGGAAGTAAACTACGCTTGTAAGCTTCATTGTAACAAACATACATACCAAATGAAGCAGGAAGTTGTCCCATGAGAAAGCCTTCAATGATCTTTGCAACCTGTTGCCCTGTGACATATGGTTTAAACTTATCAATCAGATAGTGAGTGAGTGACTTAGTTAGTTTTACGCCGCCCTCAGCAATATTCCAGCTATATGGTGACGGTCTATAAATAATCGAGTCTAGAACCAGACAACCCAGTGATCCACAGCATGAGCATCGTTCTGCTCAATTGGGAACCGATGACATGTGTGAACCAAGTCAGCAAGCCTGACCACCCGATCCCGTTAGTCGCCTCTTTCAACAAGCATGGGTTACTGAAGATCAATATTCTAACCCGGATCTTCACGGGTTATCAATCACATACAGCAAACATAGGACATGAGTGTAAATGAATTGTACTTTTCAACATGAAGATTCACACTACACTTATTTCCTTCAATAACAAAATCCAAAAGAGATCTGACTATAAAATGAATGACGCAATGAATGGGATAACGCATCCAGACAAATTCTTTTTAATGATTTGATAAATATGCAAATGTCACCTAGAAGGGCACGTTCTTAAGTTACACATCTGTACCATGACTACAGTCATTTCATTGATTTCATTTCAGACCGATGAATTGCTCACTGACACAAAATCTAACAATTGCAACAAAACCAAATTTTGCGCAGTCACATGAAATCGACTTTTTTTTACGAAGGAAAACCAAGCTCTGGTCAACTTCTTTACTGCAATGAGTGCGACGTTTCGGTGTAGGTACTAAAACCGTTATCAAGCAAGTGCAACTTGGTAATGCTACATCCATACAACTTTTAAAGTGCCTCTCAAAGAAGGGGGACCACTTGCTGGTAGAACAAACAGGTGTGCGAGTTGCACATGTGAAATTGAAATTTCACTACACACGCTTGTTGATTATCAGATCCTGATTCCCTTTTTTGGGCAGATTATTTAAGCAAAATCTGAGTGACCTTATTGATTCTATTGAATAAAAATGATTGACTATCCATACTGTGGACGGACCTGCTACTTGATAAATAATACAAACCTCCTCCCTCCACATACTGTGCCAGCCTTTTCACAAGTCTTATCACTGAAGGGGTGTCAATCAGTGTAAAGTGGGCACCCTTGAATTTCATTGGGCCCATGGTCGCCTTGCTATCAGTGTTTGGGCGAATTATTGCACGGAGACACTTGGACACTTCGTCAGATCCTGAAAAAGTATTTACTGGTTCTGCAGTCTCGTCTAATATTACATTTCTTTAACCAACTAATATTGAAACAATATAAACAGTTTAATTAATTTATACACTTGATACAGGATATACTCAAATCATGTTTTGGGGGTTCTCCTTCTTCAAAAGAGATACATATTCATGCAGCAATGTATGTAAATATATAGCTTGTAAATAATCGAGTGTCGACTAGAAAATCTTCAGATCATGTTTGTGTCAAGAATGCCAAATTATGTCTGAACGTATACCTGTGAGAGTCAACTTTGACGGTTCTGGAGCCGCTTTCCAATTGAGAATTAAACGTCCACAGCCCACGAAGAATCCACTCTCTAAAGGGCGCCTAATCAATAACATAAAAGATATTTTGGCACAGGTTTTATGATCATGAAGTGTTTGCTGGACAGTCAGACAAATGATCGATAAATATTGTTTCAAAAGGAAAAATCCGATTTAACCATTGCCGATGTCGAATGTGGACATCAATCTACCATCTATAATATACTTCGATTTATGAACAGTCCAAAAGCTCTGAATGAAATGCCAGAGAAAAAGAAGTAACAAAACAGTTGTACTATATTATGAGTATTTGTGTATGAATCACGTCGCGAAAATGTTTAGAGTTTCCTGCTCCAGCTATGGCAAGACACGCTGACAAGTCAATTGTTGACCTAAAGAAAGCAGCAAAGTATGATACAAGTCAAAGTAGGGAACTGAATTCGACCTTATGTTGTCACCCATCGTCATGCAGGTATCACAGGAATGACTATGGACACAAAAGAGAGGCAGGGGAAAAAGAATGTTCTTAAAATATCATTTGTTTTCAGATTTGGTGCAGTCATTCGTGACAAAAGTGCAAATTCTCTATCAGTTGTAGACGTCAACATAATACACAGTGAATCAACAAAGCCAGACATCCGTACTCACTCGTGACCAAGGTTCAAGTCCTCTGCCAGCTGTAGTCCTATAATGGTGGGGTACATGGTGAGCGGAATGTTCACACACATGTTCAGAGTGTCCGGCACGATGCTGAAGGACTGGCTGGAGTGGTAACTCTCAATGGCGACTACACCATTGTCTCTGTAACACAAACAACACATTGATTTAATGAAAACAGCAGAAATATTCTCATGGTGTTTCGCGTCTTCAAAAAAGCCTGATCAGTATTCGTTTGAACGACGAGGACAGAGATTCGTGATGGACTGGTGCGTACCTCTTGAGCCGGCTTACACACGTCACAAGCATGGGGATAATCCCTACGTAGTCGGCCGTGTTGCCTGTATGGATGAAGTCAAACTTCAGAGTCTCTGGTAGGTCATCACTACACACATCTGCACAGTGGCCAAGCCACAGATGGATCTAAAACAGAGTGGGTGAGTGAATGCTATTTAGCGCTGAAGCTATCTCGGCGCTCTGCAAGTTAGAACTTAGAATTTGTACTTTACTGTGAAAGTGTAATCCCAAATATAACATATGTTGCATTTGACCACTTTCTAAATGTGTAATCATAGCTCTGCAAGTAATTGACAAAAAAAAAAAGTTATTGACAAATGTGCGAAGTACAAGGAAATAGAGCTACGGTAGGATGTTGCACTTGTTGAACAGTCCAAAGATGACATATGATGCTAATTTCAATATATTATAAGTACACGTGACCTAAGGCAGCCAATCATACTACGGCAATGGATACCGTCCTCGTCAACGAAAACGGTTGTTGAATGGGTTAAACACGATATGTTTGTTTTGTTAATTAATTAATGACCATCAATCAATGTTGATTCACCGCCAACAAGATTGATGTATACTGTACCGCTAAGTGGCTGAGCTGACACTGAGTGAGTTCGCTAATCACGTCGTTAATTGGGTCTTGGGGGGTAGTAAATCAGTTCGCTATAGCCGTTAATTCGCTACTCACAAGTTCGTTATTCGCGTATAATTTTAATGATATTATAAAGGACTGCTGACGGGACTTTTAAATTTGTTCGCTATATCCGTTTGTTCGCTATATCCGTGTTCGCTATAACCATGTTCTACTGTATGTGGATATCATTTGCAAATTATTCAAGAAAAATGAAAATAACACATTACCGATTCGGCTGAACTAACGCAATTTAGAACTTAAGACTGGACGGTCGTTAAATGTGCGTCATTAACTGAGATATGGAAAGCATGCAATTATTCTTATTATATTTGTAATGAATGTTTTGCTAACATGGCCAGCCTTTGCTCACCAGAGACAAATGTACCTCAAGTCAAAATATAATATGTACCCAAACATACATGAGTTTAACTAGCTGCTATTAGCTGTTATTATCTCAAAGTCCAAATACATTTAGTAACACACAAAAGATTTATGATATAAATACCGAAATATGTTATATCCTTAAACAAGTATAGTTAGTAGATTTGAATCATATAATGTCCATCTGTTGTTCAGCATATATACACTCTCGATTGACGATTGTACACTGTCATATGTTCGCACAGAAGAACCTGTGCCATGTATGTACTGAAATAAAGGATAAACACCCAATCAGGCCACATGAGTAATTGAGTGAGTGAGTATATTCCAGCAATATCACGGCGGGGGACTCCAGAAATAGGCTTCACACATTGTACCCATTTGGGGAATCGAACCCGGGTCTTTGGCGTGACGAGCCAACGCTTTAACCACGAGGCTACTCCACGCCTCTAACAACCGAAACGTATGTGTAATGATGCTCTGAGGTACGGCACCACACATTCAAGTGTTGTCACTAATATGCTCACGGCAAAATGGCATTTACATTTAGATTCCATCCGTCACGCCTTATGCGTTGGTACGTCTGCACCCACTTCCTCAGCGTCTCCAGGAACAGCGCCGACATCGAGATTGTAGTGCTGCCATACCTAACACAGACATCAAGAGTGGAAAGGATGTCCCCATACTGGGCAGCTATATCATATGGAAACAAGACTTGCCAGCTAACATCTAATCTCAGTGTCGTTATAGAAGGGTGACGCATATTTAACAGAAGTTAAAAGTATTCAGAAAAAAACAAACGTGACACATTTGACTTAAAGAGTTCTGTCTAGTTACATCTAGAACGAAATGTTATATATACCGCCACTCACAGTTACCTGTCAAGTATTATACGTGCATGAGGAAAACCACGTTCAAGCGTGTATTTTGGGTGGCTTTTTCCATCACCTTCAATCTTGCAATTTCCAATGATTTTTAATAAGTCAGTATGACATAGGCATAAACAACATGTTATTTCACTGTTAATCACATTGTAAACATTGTCAGACCAATTGCAGCAGACGTAAATGCAGGGGAGAGAGTACCTACTTTCAATGGCTGCCAATATTGTTATTGTTGACGATCTCCGCGCCCAATCAGACAAGTCACAAAGACCAGAGAGGTTTTATAGAGCGCGGTACTAACCGTTCCAGCTTGTAGTCAACATTGTAACACATGAACGGACTGCAGTTGTCCTGGACCTTCCACGCGGTCTCCTGTGGGCGATAGAACGTAGGGTTGACGTGGAACGACTTGAGGAGTTCCGGCATGTTCCTTGATCCTAAGTTGACTCTGGTCACTCCACCTAGTACGTATTCGCAGATTTCCTCGTGTAGTCTGCGACATATAACACGGTCAGTAAAACACCTGGCAACAACTTATCGCATTATAAACAAGAATAGCGTCCTGAGTATCACTATTTATTGGGGGACGGCACCGAGGGTACCCAAGGGGCGTCTGTTTCAGCGTAGGAAGACGGCCGTGGCCAACCTCTGGAAACGGATACAATGCCATCATCAACGTTAGAAGATAAAGCTACGACGTCCAGCCTAATCCAGAACATTTGTGTCTGGAATGTTCAGAGTACCCATTCCTACCTACATGACAATTCATTCATGCGGTTTGGTGAACAATTTGACATTTTTGGCTTAGTAGAAACCATGAAACATGATATGAGCGAACTTGAATCATTCTTTACTGGTAATGTTTGTCATACCTCTGCTGCGAGAAGTCTGGGCAATTTCAGACGACATTCTGGCGGAGTTGCCCTCTGTATATAAGCACTTTTAGCCATTTACACATGACAATCTTTTCTACCTGGCAAAATTGTGTATTTTTCAATATTAATAATATTGGCATTATTGCTTTCCTCTCTATTTTTCCCTGAAGGTTCCCCGCTCTACAATGACACTGGTTCAAACGATATTGATGAACTAGAATCAAAACTTGCATCCATTCGAGCAAATTATATTGAAGACATACATATAGTACTCTTCGGAGATTTTAACGCTCGGGTTGGTTCAAATGAAGAACTGATTTATTTGATTGAAAATGATAATGACACTGATTATCTTCCTTTATCAGATTTCTATTTACCTGACTATTTCAACGAACCTAGAACAACTGAAGACAGTGTACCTAATAAGTTTGGTCTCGCCCTTCTAGAACTATGCAAGCTGTGGGGCTTACACATTGTAAATGGTAGAAAGCAAGGGAGCGAGAGGGGGTCCGTTACTTGTATTACTCATAATGGATCGAGTCTAGTAGACTACATACTTGCTTCAACAAATTGTTTTAGTGCTATTCTAGACATGATTGCTCATTTTCGGCCAGACTCAGACCACCTACCATTGTCATGCACTATAAACCTTGCTGTTAGACGATAGCAAGGTAATGGTACTAAGGGTAAAATATTCTTTCACTTAAACACGTTCCGGAGGTGTCGGTCCAATGAAAATCTCAACTGTTATATTGATGCAAAGAGGATTTCAAAAGTGTGTGGCGGGATAAATCTCCGCAATTTAATACCATGACTGCTGATGAGATATGTATAGCAGCCGCAGGTGGTGACTGTAAAAAGTTTGGTCTAAGGTAAAATCCTTTACAACTGGTTCGGGAGGGAATACCTGTATTCCCATTGGTAAATGGGTTACATATTTCAAGGAATTACTTAATCCTGCAACCAATGTAAATGATGAGGGTTTTGATGAAACCGCCCGTGAATATATATCAAGTCATTACTGTTCAGACTTTGACAATGAAGACTTGTTATCAGATCCAATAACTAGAAGTGAAATAGAACAGGCAATCAAATCCCTTATGACCCGAACAATTATCGTGGTATATCATTGTTGAATATGATCGGAAAAATCTTTACTTCTATCCTTGACTCCAGAATTCGTATCTGGATGTAATTACATGAGATTTTGGCTGACCTCATTTCACAGGGGACAATGACCTTGTACTGAGCTGACCTTGGGATAAACAACTTTTCCCAGAGGTATTTTTAGATCAGGTGCATAGCAACCGAAAGAGAATGACATCACGGCATACGGATAGATCAACTGGTTTAATCTGGTTTGGGAATGAAAATATATAAACCCCTTCATTTCGGATCATGCATCACTTCATTCCTGACTACACAGACGACATCCAGCTATACAACTCTCTCTCTCTCTCTCTCTCTCTCTCTCTCTCTCTCTCTCTCTCTCTCTCTCTCTCTCTCTCTCTCTCTCTCTCTCTCTCTCTCTCTCTCTCTCTCTCTCTCTCTCTCTCTCTCTCTCTTCTTTCTATCCAATCAGAACACCTGTTACATCGACTTATATTCAACTTAGACTAACACAAGCAAATGTGAGGCCACAAATATCCCCCATCTGCCGGGGACTTGTGTTGATGTTACACACAAGACGTTTAATGGCTAGCTTGTCCGTTGTCAACGAGGGCGATGGAGACGCCACTGATCCGCCATAACATGACTGAGTTCTGTCTAGAAGAAACGTTTGCGCATCGCGCAGGGGAAGAGGTTTAGTTTTCTCGAAGCATACGGAAATTACCGAGGCCTTGCGAATGATCACTTTTGAAACAACGTCGCTGATTGCACAACTAAATCTGATTGCCTGCAATCACGAGTCTTGAACGCTCACACCATGAAAGGGCCGTATTAGAACAGAGGTTACGTAGGAAGATATGACAGGAGTAACCTCTGTGGGAAGAGAATGCCTTTGACCGGGTCAGAGCTTTGTTAGATACCCTACCCCGGCGAGGACCCCAAGCTTACACCCTCTTCTGTAAAGCTTTGGAGGAATGCGGAGAGATACAAGCCATGACATTGCTGGGACAAGAGACAGACAAGACAGAGTATCCTCATGGTCATGATCATCTAGGTGGGTACCTATGTATCCCTCTCAGACCTCGAACACAGTTCCAAGAACGGCTGAATTCCTTTCAGTCTTGGCCTGTGCAGATGACACAGAGTCTTAGTCAAATGGCCCAGGCAGGATTTGTGTACTTAATCAGAGGGGACGCTTGCAAGTGTGTTCAATGTGGTGTTGTTCTCAAGAACTGGGACGTAGAGGATGATCCTTGGGTCGAACATGAAAAATGGTCTCCAAACTGTCCGTATTTGGCCCTGGTGGGAGTACCTCAGAAAGAGGTGGTCCGCTGGGGTAGTCATGCAGATTTACATGTGTAAGAGTGTGATGTTCATTGTACAATACTGAGTGTATTTGTGACTATTTGAGAATAAATCAATATTGGTTGTCATTGGTTGATGTGGTGTATAAAAGTCCTAACAAAAGGTAGGTGAAGGGAGAGCAGAGTGGCACAGTGGAAGCGCACTGGGCTCATAACCCAGAGGACCGTGGATCGAAACCACGCTCTGCTAACAACATGTTTTTAGGAGTTAGAATTAGGGCTAGCAGACATCTATATAAAGGACAGAAACGGTGATTTAGCTTCATTTAGTCGGGGACCCGTGATAGTGACACTTCATCTGAAACCTCTGTGTGAGAGTCAGTATTCAACTGGAACAAGAAAATGAACAGGAGATACTTGAGACGCTATCTGGACGACCCTAAGAAATGGACCAAATATTACTATTTGCAGGCTAAAGGCTATCCCAATCCCTTTACTAACGTGGATGATTATGTGATCTATTACGAGAAGCAAGGGGTCAAGATGGACCTACCCCCTCCTACAGACACGTTTGCACTCACTTCTCCAACCCAACAAGTCGTTAAACAGCCAGCACGTATTCAGATGCAGAAGAACGGGGGAACTGAAGCCAAAATAATTACTTCCTCACAGAGTCTCACAAAGAAACGGAAGACGACTTTTTAGATAAAAGCAGCTAGTTGACAGGTTTGCTGCCATTTAGACTCGCACCACCATGTAGTCAGCAACGTGTCCCGTGTGCTATCAGACTGTTTCCAGAAGGGATGCTATGCTTAGACATTTCAGGAATCAACACTAGCTAGGGCGTGTCAGCGTTGACTGTAGAAATGTGCGTCTTGTCATGGGGATTGTACGTGCGCTTCCCAACCTATTTAGGAATGCAACTATCATGGAATTCATCTAAAATTCCATCAGGAATGGGGTGTAATTGTATAGTGTTAGCATGAAAGAGTAATCATAAATGTATGAATGACAACGCATAGGTGTATAGTATTATTATATGGGTACTTATATAACGCTATAGTCCATCCCGCATGCATGCTCAAAGCGCTGGTAAATTTTCCCTTGGATGTCAATCTCAGTTATATTACCATTCTCAACTCCCCAGGGAGCATCTTGCTGCCATTAGGCACACCAAGTTAATGTGGATTTCCCATCCTAACGAGGTATACATGACAAAAAACAAGATAAACTGATTTCATATATTAGCTCCGTTTCAAACGAATAGAACTACGGGATAGGAGCGCTCCCAGAAGTCTACATCTGTTGTGAATTGTCTTATTGCCCCTCCTCACCGTCCTGTCCTTCACTCTCTTCATCAGATGTTATGTCTGCATTATCATCTTCAGTCAAGCCTTCGACCCAAGACTTATATTGGTACAGATTGGAAAACACGTCATAATACAGATTATTTGTGTCTCCTACTTGTTTCAGTATTCCTTGTGTCTTTGGACCACACTGCATATGGTACAGATAAGTAATAAATCGGGCATACGTCTCTTTAAACGTGCTCCAGATGAATTTGTTCAGTTTGGCTTGAATCATGTCTTCGTTTAAACCTCTTTTCATGTACAGCTGTCGTTTCTCATCCAAAAAGTCTTTATTCAGCTCACGTGTAGGTGAATACATTTGTCTTAAACCTTGCTCTTCAAGATAAGCCATCTTTTTTTTCCTGTTGTTTTGTGTGACATCGTTTAATGATTCCTTTTAACTTGGGGTATTCCCGGTGGACCCACTGAAGACTTTACAGGACACCAGTTTCTTCTGTGTTTTTGCAAATCATGCACGTCTTGAAACATGAGTCCACAGTCATCACAAGATGGCATGGTTGGGAGGTTTTCTTCACACGTCTGCTCACGCCAAAAGTCTAACTCGGACTGAATGGTCCTAGCTTGGAGGTCTCCTTTTAAACTGAATGCATTGGGGCAAAGTCGCATATGGGGAGGTGTTTGTGGTTTTAGATCAAGCAACAAGTAGCTATAAGGCTTCATGAAATGGTCTGTGTTACCTGGATACATTTGCCTCGCCAAAGTCATGATCGGTTGTTGATCGATAGGGTTGTTAAACAGAAGCATATATGGCAGTTTCTTCGTCGTGTGGGATCCTTACTGAAATACAATTTTGGTTCAAGGCTATCACTGAGAGATTACGATGATGACTTCCTTCCGTAAACAGATCTGTAATGCGTGGATCTTTGCTTGCTGTCGACATTAAGTCGTCGAGGATAACCACATTCACCACATGGGGGTCCAGAAACCGATCCTTTTCGAGATCAGAAGGAATGCCTTGATGAAATTCCACAAAGGGGTAAACACGGGTTTGAATGGTGTTATACAAGGGCTGCCATCGTTTGTAGAGCCAAATAATACGTTCAGGATAAGGTTTAATGTTCATCCGTTCTAAAAGCTGCTTCACTAAGTACGTCTTCCCACAGGAGGTGGGCCCTGAGACGATCATGGTAAAGGGGTATAGAAGCCTAAATTCTTCCAAAGCACCCACATGTGGTTGCACTGGTTGCATCATTGGTGGTGGTGGTGGTGGTGGTGGTGGTGCTTGTGGTGGTGATATGAAGATTAGTACTGCTGCCAAGTGAAGTAAAATGAATATTACCGTTCAATATCTTGCCTTTTCATTACGAAATACAGATGGCAGCAGTACTGATCTTCATATCACAGAAACCTTCACTTTGCAGCAGCACTGATCTTCATATCACAGAATACTTCAAATGGCAGCAGTGCCGATCTTCATATCACAGATAACTTTTAATGGCAGTAGTACTGACATGCATATCACAGAAAACTTCACATGACATGGCAACAATACTGATCTTCATGACACAGATACCTTCACTTGGCAGCAGCACTGATCTTCTTATTACAGATAACTTCACTTCGCAGCAGCACTGATCTTCATGTCACAGATTACTTCAAATGGCAGCAGTATTGATCTTCATATCACAGATAACTTCTGAGGGCAGCATTACTGATCTTCATATCACAGATAACTTCAAATGGCAGCAGTATTGATCTTCATATCACAGATAACTTCGCATGGCAACAGTACTGATCTTTATGACACAGATACCTTCACTTGGCAGCAGCACTGATTTTCTTATTACAGATAACTTCACTTCGCAGCAGCACTGATCTTCATGTCACAGATAACTTCAAATGGCAGCAGTATTGATCTTCATATCACAGATAACTTCGCATGGCAACAGTACTGATCTTTATGACACAGATACCTTCACTTGGCAACAGTACTGATCTTCTTATTACAGATAACTTTACTTCGCAGCAGTATTGATCTTCATATTACAGATAACTTCAGAGGGCAGCCGTACTGATCTTCATATAACAGGTAACTTCAAATGGCAGCAGTATTGATCTTCATATCACAGATAACTTCTGAAGGCAGCAGTACTGATCTTCACATCACAGGTAACTTGAAATGGCAGCAGTATTGATCTTCATATCACAGATAACTTCGCATGGCAACAGTACTGACCTTCATGAAAAAGATACCTTCACTTGGCAGCAGTACTGATCTTCATATCACAGGTAACTTCAGATGGCAGCAGTACTGATCTTCATATCACAGATAACTTCACTTGGCAGCAGTACTGACATTCATATCACAGATAACTTCACTTGGCAGCAGTACTAATCTTCATATCACAGATAACTTCAGGTGGCAGAAGCACTGATCTCCATATCACAGGTAACTTCAGATGGCAGCAGTAATGATCTTCACATCACAGATAACTTCACTTGGCAGCAGTACTGATCTTAATATCACAGATAACTTTACATGGCAGCAGTACTGATCTTCATATCACAGGTAACTTAAGATGGCAGCAGTACTGATCTTCACATCACAGATAACTTCACATGGTAGCAGTACTGACCTTCATATCACAGATAACATCACTTGGCAGCAGTACTGATCTTCATATCACAGATAACTCCACATGGCAGCAGTACTGATCTTCATATCACAGGTAACTTTACATGGCAGCAGTACTGATCTCCATATCACAGATTTCACTTGGCAGCAGTACTGATCTACATATCACAGGTAACTTCACATGGCAGCAGTACTGTTCTTCACATCACATATAACTTCACATAGTAGCAGTACTGACCTTCATATCACAGATAACATCGCATGGCAACAGTACAGATCTTTATGACACAGATACCTTCACTTGGCAGCAGTACTGATCTTCTTATTTCAGATAACTTTACTTCGCAGCAGCACTGATTTTCATATTACAGATAACTTCAGAGGGCAGCAGTACTGATCTTTATATAACCATTTGGTAGCAGTTCAAATGGCAGCAGTATACTGATCTTCATATCACAGATAACTTCTGAAGGCAGCAGTACTGATCTTCACATAACAGGTAACTTCAAATGGCAGCAGTATTGATCTTCATATCACAGATAACTTCGTCTTCGATGGCAGCAGTACTGACCTTCATGAAAGATAACTTCACATGGCAGCAGCAGTATTGGCTGATCTTCATATCACAGGTAACTTCAGATGGCAGCAGGACTGCAATCTGAAGTCATCTGTGGTATGAAGATCAGTACTGCTGCCATGTGAAGTTATCTGTGATATGAAGATCAGTACTGCTGCCATGTAAAGTTATCTGTGATATGAAGATCAGTACTGCTGCCAAGTGAAGTTACCTGTGATATGAAAATCAGTACTGCTGCCATGTAAAGTTATCTGTGATATGAAGATCAGTACTGCTGCCATGTAAAGTTACCTGTGACATGAAGATCAGTACTGCTGCCAAGTAGTGTTATCTGTGATATGAAGGTCAGTACTGCTACCATGTGAAGTTATCTGTGATGTGAAGATCAGTACTGCTGCCATGTGGAGTTACCTGTGATATGTAGATCAGTACTGCTGACAAGTGAAATCTGTGATAAGGAGATCAGTACTGCTGCCATCTGAAGTTACCTGTGATATGAAGATCAGTACTGCTGCCAAGTGATGTTATCTGTGATATGAAGGTCAGTACTGCTGCCATGTGAAGTTATCTGTGATATGAAGAACAGTACTGCTGCCAAGTGAAGTTATCTGTAATAAGAAGATCAGTGTTGCTGCCAAGTGAAGTTATCTGTAATAAGAAGATCAGTGTTGCTGCCATGTGAAGTCATCTGTGATGTGAAGATCAGTACTGCTGCCATCTTAAGTTACCTGTGATATGAAGATCAGTACTGCTGCCATGTAAAGTTATCTGTGATATGAAGATCAGTACTGCTGCCAAGTGAAGTTATCTGTGATGTGAAAATCAGTACTGCTGCCATGTAAAGTTATCTGTGAGATGAAGATCAGTACTGCTGCCATGTAAAGTTAGCTGTGACATGAAGGTCAGTACTGCTACCATGTGAAGTTATCTGTGATGTGAAGATCGGTACTGCTGCCATGTGAAGTTACCTGTGATATGTAGATCAGTACTGCTGCCAAATGAAGTTATCTGTAATAAGAAGATCAGTGCTGCTGCCAACTAATCTTCATATCACAGATAACTTCACATGTTAGCAGTACTGATCTTCATATCACAGGTACTATCAATTAGCAAAAGAGGCATTACTGTCACGTGCCAAGAGGCCAAGATGTGTGTTCTGTTCTTCAAAACATTCGTAATCATCCGAAACGTCGAAATACGAAGACACGTGTCTCATCAAATCTGAAGTTATTTCCATGTGTCACCTACATTTTTAAAGATTATATATTGCATACCACTGTTTCGAATTTATATTATTTCTTTTGAAAAGAGCCAAATTGCTATGGAAAATACTATTAGTCATAATGTCATAATTGTTCGCTGTTGTAGTTATTAGTTTCCGTAAGATTATTGTGTAGATAGTCTTTATCTTCAGGTGGTATGTAGGTCTCGTCTGAATCTACTGATAACAAGACCAGGTATCAAGTGTACATATACAGATCATATCAAGCGGGACTGTGGGGAAGGTACGTTCTATCATGAATATGCTTCTGTTTGAGCAATGCAGTGTCGTCCAGGTACTGAGCTATATGGTCTAGTCAGGTTGCCATGGTTATCGACTACGGTCTTATCCTCTAATAATACAATAATAATTCATGATGGTGATAATATTAATTGTTATGTCGGCATTCTAACGGTTAGTGAGTCAGTAGTGAGACCTACGACTTTATGAATAACAACTTCTTGTATTTTACATAGAACGACGTTTTGGTGCAGATTCTTATATCGTTATCAAAATAGCAAACAAGTGATTACAACCAAGTGATAAGAAGTGTATACACGTATACATATTATTTAGTGGCAAGCAGATTGATGGCAGCTGATACTTGATAACAGGTTACTATTATGTCGGATTCTGTCGAGAATACGATAACCTATTTCGGAACCACGTGAAGTGAGTGAGTGAGTTGGGGTTTAAACAATTTTCAGGTATTTCACGGTAGACGTGGAAGTATGGGGCTAGCATGTATAGGCCTAGACTAACATTTAGTCCCTGAAATGAACACATTTTAGAGAAACAAAACACTTATTAGATTATGTTAATAAAATACAATTAAATGGAGCCCAGACTTTCATTTGGTATTCTAGACTTGCCACACATTCTAGATTTGCATGGGCTGCATTGTGTAAATTTGTTCATGGTCTGCATTAAAGACTAGTATAGGTGAAAACGTTGTAAGTGTTAAGTGTCTCATTAGTTGATAGATTGCTTTATATTCTTACTTAGTTAGCTTACAGCAAAGCGATGTGTGAATGACCTGAATTAATCCTGCTGGGTCTGTTTGCCCTAGCAGAGCGTATCACACGTATTTCATTTCAAATACGATACAAATGATTAAGTAGGATATAGGTTGTTGTTATCGCCTGACCTGAGTAGGTGTTACAATGTTACTGACATACCGTATATCTTCCAATAGAGCAAAGATTTACCCTCTCGTCGAATCGCCATTCTATCATGTTATCTAGTCATTGTATCTAGAAGTGCACGTCTTTATAAGTCTACACCGTAAATAACATAACAATGTTTCTTTGGGACGATACGGTAATTAAGAAATACACTTCGATCTACCACCATGTATAGTGTAATAAAACACACTTTTGCCCTGAACTATTATAGTTAAAGCACGAGGACCTTGCGTCCGAGTGCTTTAACGTTATAACAGTGTAGGAAAGATGTAGAAAATCTAGCCTGTCCACAGGACTGGCAGGTCAAATTTTTTACCAGTCCTGCCAAAATCTAGCCTGTCCTCCAAATATAAATAAAACACTTTCGGCAGTAAATATTCAAAAAGGTTATAATCATTATATATATGTCATTGGTTTGCTAAAATTCACCCGACATGAGGACGGACTAGATATTTTTTTAACCCGTCCTCCACAAAATTCACCCGTCTCGGACGTTGGGACGGGCTATCTTTCCTACACTGGTTATAATAGTTCAGGGCGAAAGTGTGTTTTATTACACTATACATGGTGGTAGGGCGAAGTGTATTTCTTTTCTAAGATGCCAAATTTAATACTTTCTAAAGATAATTACGATTAATTTAAGGCAGAAAACAAACGACGGTGTCGGTGACCTAAATTAAGAATCCTCGCACAGGGCTAACTGGCGCGCTGTTCTATTGATGTGTCTGCCCCCTACGTTAAGACGAACGTTACCAGAAAAAAACAAATGATAACAGTTTGATGACGGTTTACGTTCGGATTAAATATCTTCTCTGAATTAACTTAATTACATCTGTCATTAACGTAAACCATATGGGACAATATGAACGTTGCATTTCTACTACCAGCGTAAGTTTAGATCAGTACATCCAGAGGAAGTTGAGTAGTCAAGCGACATTCCACAATTGCATTGTGGGAATGTAAACATTACGAACGTTACCGTGTCGCTGAAAACTTGTGAGTCGAAATGACACATTTTAACCGTCGTAAAACATAAACGTAATGTTTCCACCAGTGATGTTAGCTGCGTGAAGCAACAGCAAACCAAGAAACTGGATGCAACGGTGTAGTTTACTGTAGGAGGCCGTACGAGGCGATGACAACTGACATGCATCGTGACGTCGCTTACATTGTGACGTAATGTAAAATGTTTCGATTACGAGGGGGCACACTAGAATGGCGCAGTGAAGGTATAACGTCATTCAATTGTTACGTCATCAAAAAACGATACCTTTATTGTCTTTCAGTGGCATTTAGAAGTTGTACATTGATGTCCAAGATATTTTTATATCAAGCATGTCAATCAAGCATGGATAATTGGTTTTGATACATACTTCGGGGCTCCGTTACACATGTATCTGACAAATCGGTTTTAAACCCAATTCATTCATATCTATCACAGATTTCTCGAGAATGTCAAGAAAGACACAGTGGTGTGCATTTACGTTTGTCCATTCCTGTTATCGTTGTCACGCAATGCCACCAAACCAGTCCACAGTTAAGCCTTGTTATGTCAGTATGAATCAAAGAAAGAAAACGAAAATACTTCATCACAAGTTTTCTATTGAACACAGGAATTGTCTACTAGCAAACTAGGTCCGGCCACAGATAATTGCATGCTATTCTCCATTATAAAATACAACTCATCATGGACGAAAAGACAAGACTTTTAACGGATACGAGCGGCCGCCCATTTGAGGGATTTGGCGAAGAAGAAGAGACGTTGTATACCCCGCAATATTTAGCCATAAACGCTGCAGACCCCAAACTCAGTGATAATGCTGCCACTTTTGAGGACTTAGTGTCTGAGCGTACACGAATAACTACCCCAAAGTTCGACGACGGTCTTCTAGCCCCCGTCAACAGCAGCCCGGTTACCCAGGAGGTGGAGGTGAAGGTCAAGTTGTATAAACGACGATGGTATATTTTGGTCGTGTTCGGTTTATTCGCGGCCACACAGAACATTATGTGGAACACCTTCGCTCCCATCTCCGCAGCCAGTGAAGATGCATTCGGTTGGGATGACGGGACGATAACCACACTGACTAACTGGGGACCGATATCCTTCATGGTGGCAGCCGTGTTCTTCTCTTGGGTCATTGACGTGAAAGGTAAGTGAGTGGGTGATTGACGTGAAAAGTAAGTGAGTGTGTCATTGACGTGAAGAGTAAGTGAGTGGGTGATTGGCGTGAAGGGTAAGTGTGTGGGTGATTGACGTGAAGGGTCGGTGATTGGGTGATTGACGTGAAAGGTAAGTGTGTGGGTGATTGACGTGAAAGGTAAGTGAGTGGGTGATTGACGTGAAAGGTAAGTGAGTGGGTGATTGACGTGAAGGGTAAGTGAGTGGGTGATTGACGTGAAGGGTAAGTGAGTGGGTGATTGACGTGAAAGGTAAGTGAGTGGGTGATTGACGTGAAGGGAAAGTGAGTGGGTGATTGACGTGAAGGGTAAGTGAGTGGGTGATTGACGTGAAAGGTAAGTGAGTGGGTGATTGACGTGAAGGGTAAGCGAGTGGGTGACTGACGTGAAAGGTAAGTGAGTGGGTGATTGACGTGAAAGGTAAGTGTGTGGGTGATTGACGTGAAAGGTAAGTGAGTGGGTGATTGACGTGAAAGGTAAGTGAGTGGGTGATTGACGTGAAAGGTAAGTGAGTGGGTGATTGACGTGAAGGGTAAGCGAGTGGGTGACTGACGTGAAAGGTAAGTGAGTGGGTGATTGACGTGAAAGGTAAGTGTGTGGGTGATTGACGTGAAAGGTAAGTGAGTGGGTGATTGACGTGAAAGGTAAGTGAGTGGGTGATAGACGTGAAGGGTAAGTGAGTGGGTGATTGACGTGAAGGGTAAGTGAGTGGGTGATTGACGTGAAAGGTAAGTGAGTGGGTGATTGACGTGAAGGGAAAGTGAGTGGGTGATTGACGTGAAGGGTAAGTGAGTGGGTGATTGACGTGAAAGGTAAGTGAGTGGGTGATTGACGTGAAGGGTAAGTGAGTGGGTGACTGACGTGAAAGGTAAGTGAGTGGGTCATTGACGTGAAGGGTAAGTGAGTGGGTGATTGACGTAAAAGGGAAGTGAGTGGGTGATTGACGTGAAGGGTAAGTGAGTGGGTGATTGACGTGAAAGGTAAGTGATTGGGTGATTGACGTGAAAGGTGAGTGGGTGATTGACGTGAAAGGTAAGAGGGCGTTGCTTTGTTAGTGTTGGTTTCATCACGATCATTAGTATTTAGGTAATAGCTTAAGAACTTTACTAGTTACCATCTGTATCATCATTGTTTTCAGAGGCATCATTGTCGTCAATAGTTTTTCGATGATATCACTAACATCAGTAATTGAATATAATATCGGTTGTGTCCCATTGTCTTCATCCTAGTTGTCACAACCATTCTCTCAAAAAGAGCCAAGGACCATGGGATTTGTTCGTACTACTATATATAATCTCTCACTACGCCTGTCTGTTCTAACATTCTAGATTGTATGTAGCGTCTGAACACCTGAACAATAACTCATGATATATTCGGCACAGACCAGTTCGTAACCCGGAAAATGTTGTTGACACGTTTGACACGGCGTTCAGTGTTGTTTATAGTTGAAAAGGCAATACATTCTCAATCACAGGTATTAGGCCTGCCGTTGTGTCCAGTATGATGCTGGTAACAGTGGGGTGCGGTATACGGTGTATCTCCTCGACGCCACCTCTCGTAACATGGTGAGTATGGGAGCCCTTCGTAACATGGTCGGTAGAGAAGACTTTCGTAACCTGGTCAGTACAGGAGACTTTCGCCACATGGTGAGTATGGGAGCCCTTCGTAATATGGTCAGTAGAGAAGACTTCGTAACACGGTGAGTATTGGAGCCCTTCGTAACATGGTGAGTATGGGAGCCCTTCGTAACATGGCCAGTACAGGAGACTTTCGTAACATGGTGAGTATGGGAGCCCTTCGTAACATGGTCAGTAGAGAAGCCCTTCGTAGCATCTTCAGTAGAGAAGACTTTCGTAACGAGGTGAGTATGGGAGCCATTCGTAACATGGTGAGTATGGGAGCCCTTCGTAACATGGTCAGTAGAGAAGACTTTCGTAACACGGTGAGTATGGGAGCCCTTCGTAACATGATCAGTAGAGGAGACTTCGTGACATGGTGAGTATGGGAGCACTTCGTAATATGGTCAGTAGAGAAGACTTTCGTAACACGGTGAGTATGGGCGCCATTCGAAACATGGTGAAAAGAGGAGATTTTCGTAACATGGTGAGTATGGGAGCCCTTCGTAACATGGTCAGTACAGGAGACTTTCGTAACATGGTAAGTATGGGACCCCTTCGTAACATAGTCAGTAGAGGACCCCTTCGTAACATCTTCAGTAGAAGGACTTTCGTAACATGGTGAGTATGGGAGCCTTTCGTAACATGGTGAATGGAGGAGCCCTTCGTAACATCTTCAGTAGAGAAGACTTTCGTAACACGGTGAGTATGGGGGCCCTTCGTAACATGGTGAGTATGGGAGCCCTTCGTAACATTTTCAGTAAAGGCGACTTTCGTAACATGCTGAGTATTGGGAGCCCTTCGTAACATGGTCAGTACAGGAGACTTTCGTAACATGGTGAGTATGGGACCCCTTCGTAACATAGTCAGTAGAGGAGCCCTTCGTAACATCTTCAGTAGAAGGACTTTCGTAACATGGTGAGTATGGGAGCCTTTCGTAACATGGTGAATGGAGGAGCCCTTCGTAACATCTTCAGTAGAGAAGACTTTCGTAACACGGTGAGTATGGGGGCCCTTCGTAACATGGTGAGTATGGGAGCCCTTCGTAACATTTTCAGTAAAGGCGACTTTCGTAACATGGTCAGTATGGGAGACCTTCGGAACATGGTGAGTATGGGAGCCCTTCGTAACATGGTGAGTAGAGGAGACTTTCGTAACATGGTGAGTATGGGAGCCCTTCGTTACATGGTCAGTACAGGAGAATTTCGTAACATGGTCAGTAGATGATACTTTCGTAACATGGTCAGTACAGGAGCCCTTCGTAACATGGTCAGTAGAGAAGATTTTCGTAACATGGTCAGTACAGGAGACTTTCGTAACATGGTCAGTAAAGGAGATTTTCGTAACATGGTCAGTACAGGAGACTTTCGTAACATGGTCAGTTGAGTAGACTTTCGTAACATCGTCAGTAGAGGAGATTTTCGTAACAAGGTGAGTGTGGGAGCCCTTCGTAACATTGTCAGTACAGGAGACTTTCGTAACATGGTCAGTAGAGGAGACTTTCGTAACATGGTCAGTACAGGAGACTTTCGTAACATGGTCAGTACAGGAAACTTTCGTAACATCGTCAGTACAGGTGATCAGATGAAGCTCGTGTTACTATGACACCTGGTACACTGAACACCCATACACAGACTCGGCATACACATCAGGTAATATAAGCTTTGTTTTGACATATTTATGAAGATGACCACCTATTCTATTCAAGGCTCAACCACGTCGGGGCCGCATTGAACGGGTTGGGTGGGCCAGTGGGAATGTTTGGTGTTCCTGTCCTCTCCAGTGTCTGGTTCGGTCCTCACGAGAGGACAACAAGCACTGCTCTCACCCTCGTCATCTCCAACATGGGACTCGCCTTGAGTTTCGTAGTAGGTCAGTGTTACTGCTCTTGCAAACTTCATAATCTGAATATATAGATATATGAATGGGTTGTTAGTTTTCCAGTTATAAGACTGCGGCCTGGAAATAATCAAATCTAGACCAGACAATCCAGTGATTGACATCATGAACATCAATCTACGCAAATGGCGTACTGTGACAAGCCAACCTAGAGAGGCGATCAACAGGATCGATCGAGTGGTCAGGCTCGCTGACTTGATTGATACATGTCATCGTATCCCAATTGCGTAAATCGATGCTCGTGACGTTGATCACTGGATAGTCTGGCCCAGACTCGAATATTTACAGGCCGCCGCCATATAGCTGGAATATTTGCTGAGTGCGGCGTTAAACAACAAACAAGCCAAGTTTGCTGAAGACCGATTCTCACCAGGATCTTCACGGGTCCGTGAGTAGGTGAGTGAGTGAGTGAGTGGGTGAGCCTGGTGTGATGTGAGGTATAGGTAAAATCCGTGAAAGGAGCTTACTACCTAAAATATAGTCTGGGCGAATCTGGTGTCTGACAAGTTGAAAGACTGAACTCTGCACAGCGAACAGCGGCGCCTCAGATTAGATAACCCTTGTCCCCAAGTTCAATTGGACTTTGACTGGATGGGAGAGAAGAAGGGGTCTCAGAAATGCAACGCACCTTTAAAGGCATCTTACACTGGCATAAGGTGACCGTAGAGCCACATGACACACACCCCACACCCCAACATATGATCACATGAGAGTTGCGGGGCCACTGAGATAAATAGATACTTGCTTCTAGTTACCATCATTTGAGACGGTGCAGTTTCTGATAAATTTACGCATGTGAAACGTAAATGAAGTCTCCCAAGGAGAAGTGTTAATGCTGTCGATGGTTCAAGGAGGCCACTGTTCTATACTTAAAGGCTGCGAGGAGACACAACGTGACACAGTACTATACAACAGTGGAATTTCGTCACGATATACTACATCGACAACTACATCTACTTATACGTAATGTCAGGAATAGCATCATGTGTATTTCGTTCGTGGTGACCTTTAATGGATCGTTCAAATCATTTTCTTCCAGGGCCAATTTTAGTGCCGGATCGTACCAACCCAAACTGCACCAATGTAAAAAACAACGAAAGGCGAGTTATTTCATTGTTTGTCCCAGTAATCTACGTACCGAAAGGCTACAAGATTGTTGAAACGGCATTAAGCAATAATCAATAACTCACGATGATTAATTTCTATTTTGGCCATTTGGTTGTGCTTTCTACGAATTATTAATATATACATTTATCATTATTTCGATATTACTCATTGATAATTCATTGATTATTAATTTCAACATCAGCTGTTAAAACTGTAATCGAAACAAACCGATGTACATGGAGACCACATTTCAGGTAATATAAAAGGATGGTAGTGTCTTTTGTGACAATGAAAGGGTTTGTTGTAGTGTTGGGAATTGGTTGAAATCTCACAATTGATGATTGGTTCAATACCAACGACCTATCATCGAAAAAAAATGGTTCGCGTCATTTTTTAGATTTTCCTATTCGGGTTGTAGTTGCAGATAAGTATAAAGAAAAAACATTTGGTTGTCTTGTAGTTTTTTTGAAACTGCACAAATTACATTTGCAAATTTCACATCCAGTGTAAAATGATTTAGTTCTAGTGTAACATAAACTTCCCAGATTCTTCAAGAAATATTCAGTCACGACTTTTCAGAAAGTGAAGTGAGTTTTCTTAGAAATAAACACGTTTTCAGGCCCTGACAACGTCCTAGATATGTTTCAAACTCTATTACAGCGGTTCCAAAATCGTTTGTGTTCGATTATGAGAAAATGTGATCGATTGCTTGGTCGTTTGGCAACTGCGACCAATCTTTGATTATTTCAATTAATCGGACCACGATTAGTTTGTTGAAAATATTTCACCATGAAGCGTCTGTATATTAAACAAAGAACGAGAACAGCATCCATAGAAAATCACTAATAAGTGAATGATGCCGTCTTATAAAACATACTGTGTTAATCTGCCGGGCAAATAAAGGATGCGTTATATTCCACATTACCTGAAAGTGAACCGAACAATAGATATTCGATGGTGATTTTGTATTTGATAAGGACAAAAAGAGCAATGGTATGTACATTACATCAATTAGCATTTACATGTACACGATGCAGGTTACAACCTTAAAGCAAATTTGACAGTGTATACTTTATATTCCCTACAGTTTATGTAATGGCGTTGACTTCAATAGAAGCCCAAAATTTGAAACACTCGATCACATGCCCAGTTTAACTTTCAGACCAAACGCTCATATACCTTAAAAAGCGATCCGGATTCAGCCTCATTCAACAGACTTGCAGGTTAACACCGGATATAGCATGTCTACCAGGGGAACACAAACACCCACACACACACCCAATCCCGATGAGTTTTTCCCCTAACCTTTGGACTTCATGATTTATGTGTACCCCAAACTCCTGGATCTGCCCCTGCCAACGTATCCTTAATGAACTCCTGTTGTCGTAATGATGACTTTTGTTATACGTTTCCAGTATCCATATGACGACATATACATCCGACCTTGAGGAGTCAGGCTGTTCCCTGTACTTCAATACATCAGGTGAGTGTCTTCACGACATAAGAGGATACAGGCTCTACTCTTCAATACATCAGATCAGATGAGCAACTTCACGACATATGCGGAGACAGGCTGCTCTCTGTACTTCAATCCATCAGGTGAGTGTCTTCACGACATGTAGAGACAGGCTGCTCTCTGTACTTCAATACATCAGGCGAGTGTCTTCGCGATACGTGGAAACAGGTTGTACTCTTCAATACATCAGATAAGCAACTTCACGACATATGAGGAGGCAAGCTGTACTCGGTACTTCAATACATCAGGTGAGTGTCTTCACGACATGTGGAGGCAGGCTGTTCCCTGTACTTCAATACATCAGGTGAATGTTTTCACATGTGGAGGCAGGCTGTACTCTGTACTTCAATACATCAGGTGAGTGTCTTCACAACATGTGGAGGCAGGCTGTACTCAGTACTTCAATACATCAGGTGAATGTTTTCACATGTGGAGGCAGGCTGTACTCTGTACTTCAATACATCAGGTGAGTGTCTTCACAACATGTGGAGGCAGGCTGTTCCCTGTACTTCAATACATCAGGTGAATGTTTTCACATGTGGAGGCAGGCTGTACTCTGTACTTCAATACATCTAGTGAGTGTCTTCACAACATGAGCATACAGGCTGCTCTCTCTACTTCAATACATCAGGTGTGTGTCTTCACGACATATGAGGATACAGGCTGTACTCTGTACTTCAATACATCAGGTGTGTGTCTTCACGACATGTGGAGACAGACTGTACTTCAGTCCATCAGGTGAGGGTCTTCACGACAAATGCGTTTCAAGCAAGGATGCAATTGACGTATAATTAAAATTGTATAAAATACGTTATTGACACTATATTTACGTGTATTTATCCTCTTCTCTGTCTTCTCAGGAACAAGGATAGCAGAAGAGCGGAAGGACATTATGTTTATGCTGTATGTTGGTGAGAATCATCATTTACCTAACTTATTGTTGTTCGAGTCTTCATATGAAAGTTGTGGAATTATGTTTCTGTTAAAAGTACTTGCGTTTTCAAAGGCACTGCTTGTTTAATCCATTTTAAAACAGCCTTTACGCTGTGGTCTTAATACACACAATGTATGACCTTGCTATGCGTCACCGTGTCCCTGCTGTCAGTCTAAGAGTTTCTACTGACCGGGCTGTGGCGTGGCGTCATATTGCTGCATGTGGCCTAGCTCTACTTCCACTTTCTTCTGTATTTCACTGTATCAGTGCCAGTAAGATCAATCTGATTAAAGCATGTACTGCTTGTTTCAGTGTGTGGATGGTCCGTATTCATCCTCCTGATCATCTTGTTGTACTTCCCCAGCAGACCGCCTCTTCCCCTTGTTTGTCAGCGTCGAAAAAGAGGGAGAACTTCCTGGTGGGACTCAAAACTCTCTTCAGGTGACCACTGTTCGTCTGAACGCATTGTAACATTGTTGTTGCTGTTGTTGTTGTTGTTTAACGCCGCGCTCAGCAATATTCCATCTATATGGCGGCGGTCTCTAAATAATTGAGTCTGGACCAGACAATTCACTGATCAACATCATGAGTATCGATCTACGCAGTTGGGATACGATGACATGTGTCAACCAAGTCAGTGAGCCTGACCATCCGATCCCGTTAGTCGCCGTTTACGACAAGCATGGGTTTCTGAAAACCAATTCTAACCCGTACTTGCCGATAAGTTCTCCCACCATTTTAAACTGTTGGCATTCCTCTAGTACGTCCTGGGGGCTGTGAACGTGGCGTGCTTCGCCTCGTCTGTGTTGGGGTATTGCCCTCTTCTCTTGAATATTACCATCATATATTTCACTTCTTTCCGATACATCTCCGCACGGAGATATAAACCTTCGCGTACTGTGAATTTTAAACCTTACCGCCCAATCTTAATGAAGGTATTAGGATACAATGTGTGGAGCCCGTTTCTGGAGATATTGCTGGAACATAGCTAAAAGCGGTGTAAATCAATACTCATACACTTCTTGGGTTTTTGAGACAATCAGTAAGGTGATCGTAGGTCACTAAGGTAACCTTAGTGCAATGTTAAAGAATGGTAGTTAAGGTTAACCTTAGTTAAGACATAATTGTTATGACGTTGATACCACAGAACCCGTGAAAATCCGGGTTAGAATTGATCTTCAGTAACCCATGCTTATCGTAAGAGGCTACCAACGGGATCGAGTGGTCAGGCTCGCTGACTTGATGGACACCTGTCACCGTCTCCCAATTGCTTAGATCGATGCTCATGCTGTTGATCACTGGATTGTCTGGTCCAGATTTACAGACCGCCGCCATAGAGCTGAGTGCGGCGTTACACGACAATCAAACCAAACCAAAGATACCATAATGTATCTATGAACTATTCATTGTTCAGGCGTGGTCAGTTCTGGCTGCTCGCTCTAATATACGGTCTGACCCTTGGAGTAGCCAACTGCTGGACAGGCTTGGTGGACGTCATTCTCAAGCCGTACGGAGTAACTCAGAAACAGGCCGGCTGGATGGGGTTCTACGGCAATTTGGGCCAGATGGGGATGTCGTTAATAATTGCAAGGTAAACATGATGCACAACCGTGAGGAACAAAAACACTTTCCAATTAATCAGTAGGACATTTGACTGATGTATTGAAGTATAGTTTCACTAAAATTGAAACCTGATACAATTTCTACACGGTGAGCTGGATAGTTGATATGAATGGCCTCGAAAGTACCTTTCCTGTCTTCAATAGCTTTTAATATTTCAGGTTTGCCGATAAGTTCTCCCGCCATTTTAAGCTGTTAATATTCCTCTTGTACGTCCTGGGGGCTGCGAACGTGGCGTGCTTCGCCCTCGTCTGTGTTGGGGTACTGCCCTCTTCTCTCGGTAAGACTGTTTTAATAACAACCCTGGACTATATAAATATATATATAATCTACCCGCGTTACTGTTTCAACAGGTTCCGGTACGATGACGTCTTGTTTCCACTGAAAGCTGCATAAAAGCTTTGAGGCGGTGGCTGCTGGTGTTTTATCGAATTCATTGTATCATCGAATTCATGGTATCAACACTAAATGATACTGATTTGATATACATGCTAATTGAATGGTTAAATGTTCGAAAGTCTATACCGAAAACATGCATGCGTTCAGGATTAAGACACATACAAGACGTGTTGAGTTCATGTGCTTTTGTCTCAGTCTAAACAATACCTAATTACAACTAGGGGTGACTATTGAGGGGGAAACAACTATTGCGATAACGATAGTTTTTTCGACCAACTATTGCAATAGTTTTTTTCTTCTTGAAAATTGTCTCATTTGAAGTCATTTCCCAAATGAATGTATAGTTCATATGAACTAAAAATAGGTTGAAGTAGTTTCTGTCTCTTTTAATAACTGACAAGAAACTTAAAACCCGATCAAGTAAACAGTTAAAACATACACTCAATGAAGCTGCAAGTCTGCACCCAAACATCCTGTATTTTGCACTGCGAATTTATCAACGGAAGTCAATTACTAAACTGTCGATAGTCACACATACTATCGATGTATCTATAGTTTTTCGTTTCTACCATCCATTAATTGCTATCGGAGATTCAACCATTGTTACAGCCCTAATCACAACATACTTAAACTCTAACATGTTTAGAGTTTGCTCATGGAACTAAACAGCGGCATGCTTCGCATTGAGCTTAACTTGTTTGAGTAGCATTTAGAAGGTGGTGTGATAAACAACGGGGAAAGTACTATGGATATACAACTTCTTTAATATTAATGTATAAGGTCGCTTACATCAATGATAAAGAAGTTCTATATCCATGCTCACTGCACTTGCACAATGAACACGGGTTAGTCCAGATTAGTACAGTTTCTGGGAAAAGGCAAGCGAGTATCAGAGGTAGTATTCAGAGAATTATCATTTCTGACCATGTTCAATTTTGCAGTGGTCTTGTACGTAACGTTCATAGCGGCAACCACCATCTTGTATTGTGCGGAGCCACTTATCTATGAACTGACGTGTGAAGTGACGTTCCCGACCGGCGAGGGGGACAACCAACTCCATTCTGACTCTTGGGAACAATATATTCGGCTTCGTCTTTCTCCTAATTCCTACCTTACCACATATTAGTAAGTATTTTTATACCCTCCTGTCCTGACAAAAGAGTTTCTGAAGGAACTCTGATTGAAACAAAGACCCGTATATTCAATATCTATAAAATGTTGGTTCAGTTAAAACATATGTTATTCACAAAGTGAAAAGGATCTGGTACAAATCCTTACAGCTTATAAATTCCCTCTCTAAGAAAATTTACAGTAACAAAATTCAACGCAATTAACCATTTGAAACAGACATCAAGATTGAAAGTTAAGGGGGAAATATTATAATACAAAAGGTGCAGAAAAATAGAACTAATGGAACCGTTTTGCTTTGCCAAGCAGTCAGGTGTAGAATCTGCTTGAAAAAAATAAATACTGAATACCAGCTAACTGTTTTAATTCCAGGTAGCCAGTCCTGGATGAACTGGGCCATGTTAGGAGCTATAGTGGTGGCAATCCCTCCCATCTTGCTTCTGAAGGACAGATACCTAAGGCTTGAAGTAGACGAAAACGCCGAGAAGAAACTCAAGAGGAAGCAGACTGAATGAGCATGTCTACTGGCGCATCACTACGTGAAGAACCATGCTTATCTTTAGATACTAAACTGGAAATGGATACTCGAGATGTATGTCCTTCGTTGAAACCCAAGCCATTGCAGGACCTTCAATCATGCGTCCTTCACAAGATTACGGCAGTACATTCATATACGTGACGTTCCCTGTTGGAATAGTTTCCAACAAGGATCAAATCATCAGTGTGTAAGCATCTGACACATACGGAACTAAACAACACCACATCGTGGAGACTGAATATAAATCAGCAAAGACTCAAAATAATAACAGCTTTCTTGAAACGTTTGGTAATTCCTGGCGTGATGACTCACCGTCTGGGAACCGGGTCATAATACGCCGATAAAGGAATTTGTTTCTTTTTTAGAAATGGCATCAAGACATTTCAAGTGGAGCAAATGTTTTTTTGTCATATTCTTGGGTCGTGTTTTGTATTCCTCAAGGGAATGGTCCACGACGTGCATATAGGACATGCCGGGATAAATACCTGGTGGCGTTCCACTAACCGATCTTAACTAAGATCAATCTTAGCAAGTGAGTTGAGATATAGTGTTGAAAATGTATTTTCTTTAGCAAAAGCTGTAACGCCGATTTTTATTCTAAATGGCTCTTGTATCACGGCTTATTTAATTATATTAATTATGACTGAATTAATTATATTCTTAATCAATATGTTTGATAATTAAAAATAATCTTGTGTTTGTGTGAATGGTGAGTGAATGGTTTGTCTTGTTTCGTAAAAATTTACACCTGTATCCCATTAGATTGCTGCATATCTTCTGACTGAGCGGTTAACTGGCTGTTTAGTCTTGACTGTGACAGGGATTCAGAAATATATTTAAGTTACAATAAAAATAAGAAAAAAAGATCAATCTTAGCAAGTTATGCCAGTTTTATCAATGGCACCAATCACCTTAGGAAATCCTGCGAGTTTGAAACAATCACTCTTCGTCCTCATGATACTCCCAGGTGTCTGGTCGAAGGAAATATTTTCAAACGCATCACATATAGCCTGAATGGTTTAATGAAGCAGCCTAAATACGCTTGACATAGAAATCCCATTAAGATCTCCCAGTTCAACCAAAAAAAATCCATCTTTCCCAAAAAATCCTAGGGTTGTGAGCACCTTGGTTTCAGGGATAAGTGTGAACTTAGACTGTCTGAACCTTGACGATCAGCATGACTGACTGACTGACTGAGTTTGGTTTTACGCCGCTTTTAGCAATATTCCAGCAACATCACGGCGGGGGACACCAGAAATGGGCTTCACACATTGTACCCATGTGGGGAATCGAACCCGGGTCTTCGGCGTGACGAGCCAACGCTTTAACCATTAGGCTACCCCACCGCCCCCGATCAGCATGAACAAGGCGTAACGAGGAATGCTGTACTTCGCCACAAGCACATCATCTGTAAATCTGTAAATGTATCTAGAATCTGTGAGCGGTCTCGAAAAACACGCGTCGGTGTAATGATCGCTCTTCTTCATCTTCACATAGAATAAGGAAAGCCGCCATTTTGGTTTCTCTACTCAGATTCGTCTGGATGTACTGATCTAAACTTACGTTGGTAGTAGAAATGCGACGTTCATATTGCCCCATATGGTTTACGTTATGACAGATGTAATTAAAATAATTCTGAGAAGATATTTAATCCGAACGTAAACCGTCATCAAACTGTTATCATTCGTTTTTTTCTGGTAACGTTCGTCTTAACGTAGGGGGGCAGACACATCAATAGAACAGCGCGCCAGTAAGCCCTGTGCGAGGATCTTAATTTAGGTCACCGACACCGTCGTTTGTTTTCTGCCTTAAATTAATCGTAATTATCCTTAGAAAGTATTATATTTGGCATCTTAGAAAAGAAATGCAGTTCGTTCTACCATCATGTATAGTGTAATAAAGCACACTTTCGCCCTGGGTGCCGTTGTACAAAACAACCTTAGCGCTAAGGCTACCTTAAGCCTATGTTAAGGTATGGGAGTTACGGTCACCTTAGCGCTAAGACCGCTTTGTACAACGGCACCCTGAACTATAAGAAATGCAGTTCGCTCTACCATCATGTATAGTGTAATAAAGCACACTTTCGCCCTGAACTATAAGAAATGCAGTTCGCTCTACCATCATGTATAGTGTAATAAAGCACACTTTCGCCCTGAACTATAAGAAATGCAGTTCGTTCTACCATCATGTATAGTGTAATAAAGCACACTTTCGCCCTGAACTATAAGAAATGCAGTTCGCTCTATCATCATGTATAGTGTAATAAAGCACACTTTCGCCCTGAACTATTATAACGTTCTCGTACTTTTACTATAATAGTTCAGGGCGAAAGTGTGCTTTATTACACTATACATGGTGGTAGAGCGAACTGTATTTCTTCAGTAGGAAATTACCTTTGACTCAGCTTCTTGTCACTAAACATCTCGTGCTGCTCCGTGAACCTTGATCCCACACGTCGAGTAGGTGTCTGCGGATATTGGTCTGTGCTATAACCACTGAAATTAAAGTCCTTTCTTTCACTAATTACTCCTTCAGGGTGGAATTTCTTTCCCCCCCAACACTTCAGTGCCTGAACGACCTTCTCCTGTGTTCTGGGCGAGCCAAATCTAACCCCATGATCCCCAGAACTGACCATCTCGAGATCCTTCATGACCCTCTTCAGTCTTGTCATATGGGTTTTGCTTAGGAGTACATCATACCAAACTGCCCACAGAAACTTCAGATCATTCAAATTGTCCACATCGATAGTATCAACCAGGTAAAGAGTAATCAATGCCCTGGCCAGTATCCCTTCCTCGATGTCATTCAGGTGGAAGTTGAGGGTAGGTTTGGGCTCCGTATTATGCAGGCGCCCGTGCAGTGCGTCCAGGGTGTGAAGAAAGAACCTCACATCCCCGCACCCCAGCAATAGGATGTTACAGGGGTTGGGGATGCAACATCCGTGGGTCACATCGCCTGATGGACAGTTCCCAACTGGGTAGTAGTATTGGTACTTGTCGGGTACCGGTAGGGATTTAGCATCTTCAACGGTGATTTGTATTGGACAACCTGTGGAAAATATTGCACATTTACATTGCAGCTCATCCTGTATATTGAGTACAATGAACAAGTTTTAAAATGGCAACATGTTAAGAGAGAGAGATTTCATTACTACGAAGCAACAAAAATAACACATTTTCAGAATTGCCAAAACCCAAAGCTTTTCCAGTTTTGGTTCTCCTTCTATGTTTTCTTTGCTGAAGTTTAAAACCCAGCCTTCCAATCTAGCAGCAAAACTACTATGTCTATTACAACAATAGTATTTACTATTTACAGATTAAGGTATTTTGTATTGTGGATCAAATATTTATGCACATGTTCTTCCTACTTTACCATTGTATTTTATGCTGTATGTACACGACATCTGTAATAATTCTGCAGTGAAATATAAATGTTGAACTTAAATTGTACATGCTATTTCTTCCAAATGCATATCGAACAAGCGGTCCTGTATTTGTAACATGGAAATGGGAAATAAAAGACTTAAATGAGAAAAAAGTTTTAAATGGCGTTGGTTAAATTCGCCAAGAACCAGGGCCCCGTTCCACATAGCGATCTTAGCGCTTCGATGATAGTAAGCCTATGTTAAAGTATTGAAGTTAGAGTCGCCATTGCTTTGTGGAACTGGACCCAGACGTCTTTCGGCCATGTGGGTTATAAATTAGTGCCGAGTCTTTGAGAAATGTCACAAAAGTGCAATTCACATATGTTATATTTGGGATTACACTTTCTCAGTTAAGTACAGATTCTAGTACCTTTTTTGGTTGAGTCCCATCCGGGATTCGAACCAACACCCTCAGAGTCAGGCACCTAATCGCCAGCACACAAAGTCAGACGCCTTGACCACTCAGCCACCGAGAAAGTGTAAAGAATGGAATATCTATATTTACTACTTTTTATTTTTGGGTCACATACAAGATGCCTGAAATGACTGGTGTCCGAACACGAGCTGTATTCGACGTTCTGGTGATTTCGACAATTGCATTGCACGCGCTATATCGGGTGAGTACGTGTGCGATCGGAGTGCACAAACAGTTTCACTGGTAGGGCGGGTGCCCAGTCGCTGTCGTGAGAAGTTTTATTGACAATGGAAATCGGGAAGTAAAGTTATATAAAAAACAAACAAACATCAATATTATTTACCCGAGATCGTTAATACCACTTCAGATGCAAAATCAGTTGCCTTTATAACAAAAAATAGCAAGCGAAAATTCAGTAAGATCAGTCGTCTGCTGGTGACAGGCAATATATAAATAGGAAGCCACGTGATCACAACACTCCTTCGCAGTGCGGAGCAAAAAGTCAGTCTAAGTAAACTTAGTCTCAGTAGTATTCGTTACACTCCTCTCTGTATAGTAGGGTAACTTTACTTAGACTGAAAAAAGTATGGCTCATCGTCGAAAACCCATACAAAATACCCGGAAGTTACGAGCGGCCACTGTTTCGCCGATACGATGTCATCAACGCTATTTTTGTAGGGAACACTTTATTTTTTGGTGTGAAATAGATGAATATATCCTTTATCACTCGAGGTTAGTAAAATAAAAACTTTAAATGACATTACAGATAAAAATTACGTTTTTGTCTTACATCGTCGAAAACCCCAGACACCGGGATATATGTCATATTTGACCACTTTCTAAAATGGCATTGTGTATTTCAGTGCAATTCACATTTATATATTTAGATATGTTTATTGTGGTTTTCAGCCTGACGCTTAACTTATTGGGGATACAAAGCAAGGACTGGTCAATTTTGACAGTGGAGTATTGGTGTTATCATAACACTCAGAATCATTTTTGAGCGTTTACATGGCATTGATGCCAGTGGCAATTCGTCGGTGAAGTTCAGTTGCAAAGTTACTTCCGGGATTGTAAAACTGATCATATCGACACATGTGCCGACACATATAGGGACGAAAAGGGAAGAAGAATTACTAGAAAAAAGAGCAGACATCAGCCATCACTTTTGTAGCATCGACAGTAACTTGAGTAAGTCTATCGCATTGATCGTATTGATCAATTAATGCGATTCGAATAGTTTAAATGCAATGTCCGCAAAAGGGCTTCCTCTGCCCGTAATAGCTATGTTACATTTAGTACACTTACCTAACAGTGACTCAACATCCACCGCTATATTTGACGATAAAGGTTCCATGATATACACAACGTGGGACGACCAGACCGGCTGTCTCGATCCAGGTCTCAGAAAGCGAAACCGAAAGTACGTCTGTCAAACCAACGGTCAAAGGGAAATAACTCTTCACTACTTCTTTCCGGACTGGTACCCTGACCGTCACCTCCTAGACTGGTTCCTGAATTCTCCGCCTGGCATCACTGCCGCGAACCAGCTTGTAAACAAACGTGATAATTTGAAATCAAAAGTGTGACCTATTTTAAGCTTTTCTGTGCGCTTTACTTATAATTTTCCATAATTATATACATCTGGTTTAAACATCGGTCCCGATAGCACTCCTTAAGGGTTTCAAGTGAGTTTATTTTTGCGCAGCTTTTAGCAATATTGCAGCAACATCACGGCGGAGGACACCAGAAATGGGTTACACACATTGTATCCATGTGGGGAATCGAACCTGGGTCTTCGGCGTGACGAGCGGACGCTTTAACCACTAGGCTACCTCACCGCCCCTACAAAGTTTCGATTACAGCAAGTGGAGCCATACACAAAGTATACAGGAATGGTAATTTACGCAGAACATATAATTTCCTAATTTAAAGTTAACCATTCTATGACATATGTACATTGTATATCTAAATGTGTACATTCTTCAAAATTTAAACAGATGAAAACATTTACCATATATCCGATCTATAATAGATATCTGATTGTACGAGACATGTGAAGAATCGTCGCTTGTCGGGCTGGTTTGTATGGAACTCTGGGTAGAAAAGAGAACAACTTCAAACCCAAGCTCCACACAGATTTAGTCCGTTCGCTGAGCACTCTAAACTCTACGACATCGCTGAGAGCTCTAAACTCTACGATATAATCCAGTTAAAAACATTAAGTTTTAACATCCAACACCGAAACAGGCATGGGGAATTTAGTTTGTCTTAACACACATAACAGGTTGATACAGACGAAAGTTGTTGATGGTTCATATCCAACGGTTCCCACATACTGTAGAGCCATTTGCAGCTGTATGCTCGAGTTTACATATAAAGCCTATTAGCTGAAGTAACTAATTGTCGACAAACGCTCTCACAAGCTCGTGACGTCGCGGCGTCATGTCTAAACAGATGGATGAATCGACAGAGGGAAGCTAGAGCAGGCCATTGAATGTGATATGATATTGATTTTTTAAATGTTTGATGATCAAGTCGCTGTGTCGATTATTAACTAACATCCTCCGGTGACGTCCTCCATAGTTATCACATGTACAACATCAGAGGGTAGCCGACATAGGATATTCTCCTCGCAACTCACCATGGTTCATTGGGCGCTGCGTTACCTGCCTATAGGGATGGTACTCGCTGTTGTTGTTGCAACAGGTAAGTCATCTTATGTTACATATTTATCTGTGGAAGGCGTCAAGTGATATTGGATTCAGATATTTGTTCGACCTGGTTTCACCGTGTAGAGACGCTCTTTCCGCGAACTTACTCTCCATGACAGATTATGATCATCTGAACCACGTGTATAAACTATGTGTGTGTACTTTATATGCTTGTGTCGTAGGGGATAATGTGAATCATATTCCAAACTTATAACAACAATGTATCATTTATTTTTGGAACAGACTCAAATATTCATAAACAATTTTATAAATCGTTGCATTACCTCAGCTCGGTCTGTGTGGTTGTATTGGGGACCTTTGGGCAAAAACCTTTAAAGTTCAGCTATGAACCTCATCGGATATGTTTGTATGTGTTAAATATTCCCTTTTTGTTTCTTTCTCAAGTTATTTGGTAGTGCCTCAGGTTGTTTCTGAGTGTCGCGCAAAGAAAATAATCCCTTGAAAATTAAATTTGATAAAATATGACAAACGTTATCAACACGTTTCTAGGCTGAAGTTAGTATTCCATCAGAGTAAGCACGCAGGCTGGATGTGGGGACGGAATAAAAATGAGAAAGTGTTCAATAAAAGAACAGAATTTGACCCGTAAACTACAACAAGTCATTAACATGTAACTACACTTATATCAGTCGCCGAAACCCTGCAAGTTCACTGTACCTAAGGTGATGCTGGTAACGCATCCCAACATGGCGGCAGGTAAGATAGCTTGGCGATTATTCCCCTCAAATTAGCAGTCTTTGTATACAATCAACATTATTTAGCACACTAATAAACTTTGATGGGGTGAATACATTGAATGCACTGAATCTGCTTATTAATGTCTATGTGTTGAAGAATAAGCATTTTTTTAAATCGCGCGAGGATGTCGGTAACTCAAAGTCTGGATGTCGGTAACGTGCAATGGATGATGCTGGTAACTCAATGCTTTAGTCGGTAAACAGAAAGTGTTGATTTATGTTTACATACAAAGGAGATACTTATATCAGTTCTTATGTTTTACACAGATGTGTACTGCTGCTACATTAACAGTATGAGCGACCTTTCTGTGCGCCGGAGAGTTGTTGTTCGTCTTGAAGCAGGTTGTGTTTAATCACACTATTTATGTGGCGTTTCATTGAACTTGAGGGATTTAGATGTGTGTGCTCATTGTCCATTACGCTGAGAGCGTTTTCTCTGTCCCTCCTCAATTCGGACATTTGACATGTTGATTTTGTTGCAATGTTGACGTTTAAAGTACATTTTACATCGTGCATTTATTGGGTAGGGCTGAATATATAAAGCTATATAGTCTGTCAATTGAGGAGGGACAGAGAAAAAGCTCTCAGCGTAATGGGCACACACATCTGAATCCGTTCAATACACTAGGACCGATTGTTGATAAAAGTAATGCAAGAGGCATTTTTTAGTAGGATTAGGTATCCGGGCTAGTTTCCAAAATTTACAAAATAGAGATACAGTCACGGGCGAAAATACTGTGCACACCTACCACTATTTTAGGCGATTTTGGCGTCCATTTTGTTTTTCAATTTTGAGGGTCAAAAACACTTTTTTCAGCTTGGTATCCTATTTATTCGTGATCAGCATCCTACTAAAAAATGCCTCAACATCTTTTATTGGAGCCTTTTTCCAGAATCGGCCCTAGTCTACAAGTTCAATGAAACGCCACATAAATAGTGTGATTAAACACACCCTGCTTCAAGACGAACAACAACTCTCCGGCGCACAGAAAGGTCGCTCATACTGTTAATGTAGCAGCAGTACACATCTGTGTAAAACATAAGAACTGATATTAGTATCTCCTTTGTATGTAAACATAAATCAACACTTTCTGTTTACCGACTAAAGCAGGACAGTTACCAGCATCATTCATTGCACGTTACCGACATCCAGACTTTGAGTTACCGACATCCTCGCGCGATTTTAAAAATGCTTATTCTTCAACACATAGACATTAATAAGCAGATTCAGAGCATTCAATGTATTCACACCATCAAAGTTTATCAGTGTGCTAAATAATGTTGATTGTATACACGTAGAAGACTGCTAATTTGAGGGGAATAATCACCAAGCGATCTTACCTGCCGCCATGTTGGGATCACCTTAGGTACAGTGAAGTTGAGATTCAAAACATAGCCGTGATTCCCATATGAGGTGTTATGGGTATTATCACCGAATAACCGTTTCCTTTTTGTTTCATTATCCTATATACAAGAATGCATGTATACTTTCTTTAGTACGACAGTATATGATTTATGTTTATAGCGACATCCAAACAATTCGAATTAACAACATCCTATCAACCATACATCTCATCCATGTGTACACATCCAGTGACAACATCAAAACAAGTCCTTATTTCCTAAACTTCGAAAATCTGGAGGACATGAAATTTACAAACCCCGACATTTCATTTCTGATGATTTGTAAAATACCACATACGGCATACTGCACGAAAATCGCGTTTGTGTAATTTGACAATAGTGAGTGAGTGAATGAATGTCTTGGCATCGTTCAGAGTAAACATCTTCCGAGTGAGTGAGTAACTTGTTAAACGTCATCGTCTATATTCTGGTTCTATCTCGATGCATCAGTTTTAATGTCAGAAGTGATGCAGGTCTCAGGCATTTACAATTTACATCTACGCAATTGGGATACGACGACATGTGTCAACCCAGTCAGCGAGCCTGACCACCCGATCCCGTTAGTCGCCCCTCATGACAAGCATGGGTTACTGAAGATCAGTTCTGACCCGGATCTTCAATAACCCATGCTTGTCGTAAGGTGCGGCTAACGGGATCGGGTGGTCTGGCTTTCTGACTTGGTTGACACATATCATCGTATCCCAATGGCGTATACATCGATGCTCATGATGTTGATCATGGGATTGTCTGGTCCAGACTCGATTATTTAGAGACCGCCGCCATATAGCTGGAATATAACTGAGGGCTGAGTAAAACTGCATTCGCTCACTCACTCACTCACTCACTCACTCACATATTTAGCACAATATTGCTACACGAGCCCCGCCAATCTCTAATGAGTCATTCAGGAAGCAGTACTTAGTCCGTTAGGAGGCGGGGTCAGACCTCCCTTGGTTAGCAAATTAAAAGCCACGAAATCACTTTGAAGCTATTCCCTACATGGGTACTATGTGTGAAGCCCATTTCTGATGTCCCCCGCCGTGATATAGCTGTAATATTGCTTGAAGCGGCGTAAAACCATACTCACTCACTCACTTGGAAGCTATTCTTGTATAAACGTTCGGAGAGGGGAGCATCATATATAAATACCTTACAATTTGTTGTGTGTCAAAACCAAGCACGCACGCATACGCACGCACATGCACACTCACAGTCCAACATATCTGCAAACGCGCTTATTTGTACACTCACTCGCTAATCTGTGAAGATGATTTTGCATAAGTTAAATCATGTGTTGAAGTAACCCAAATGACTGAACTGAGCCTTAAATCGGATCTGGCTATAAAATCGTAACTATATTCATACGCTGTGATGTGGGGGCGGGGATTGGAGAGGGTCTGACCGAGACTATTCACTTTTCTCATCAATATTGATTCTGAAGCATGTTCCTTCATCTTTATATGCCATATGTTACGAAGCGATGCTCATAAAATCAGGCACACCATTGATCCGTATCCCTACTTCAATGAGGCTCAGTTCGAGTATTCGGTGTGCTTAGCTTGGTATATACCACGAACAAATGGACATGATAGCTTGGAAGGGCCATCTGTCACAGACATATTGGAAAGAAATGATAATTATTGGAGTATTTCCTCTTATTTCAAAAGCCCGCCAAGACGTGAGCTGTTTCTCTGCCATATAAGACGTTACTTTCTTTATAGAGGCGAATAAGACTAAACTGGTTTAACGTGGATTCTACGCTATCCACGATATGACGCACTCCTACCGTCCATATTCCAGGGCCGGGCTGAGTTTTAGTTGTTCTAATCCACTGAATACTTAAACGGAGGATGGATCATATTATATTGGTTGTACTTCAACTGAGAAATGCTAGTTAGGTTTTATGTATTCTAGACGAATAATTAGACATCCGGCTCTCATATAAATGAGTTACTTGATGACTTTATTGCAGAGTGTTGTTTTTGACATATACATTGTACAGCCTTTGATCGGTGAACCTACCGAGGAGTGCAGAACACGCTGCCATACAATGGGGTGCCTAGCAAACTGTCATACAACGGGGTACATAACAAGCTCCATAAAACGGGTGCATAGCAAACTGCCTTAAATCAGGGTACATAACAATAAAGAAATACAGTTCGCTCTACCCCTATGTATGCTGAAATAAAACGGGATGCCTTTGAACTCGTAAGGCGTAATTCATTTGTTCAGGTTGACAAACATTAAGAGAGGTAATTTACTACTTATCTTGCAGAAAACGACGGAAATTCTACTATTTTGTGCTATCTGTTCAAGTTAATCGCTCTAAGTGAGTGAGTGAGGTTTAGTTTTACGCCGCACTCAGCAATATTCCAGCTATATGGCGGCGGTCTTTAAATAATCAAGTCTGGACCAGACTATCCAGTGATCAATAGCATGTGCATCGATCTGCGCAATGGGGAACCGATGAAATGTGTCAACCAAGTCAGCGAGCCTGACCACCCGATCCCGTTAGTCGCCTCTAACGACAAGCATGGGTTACTGAAGATCAATATTCTAACCCGGACCATCACGGGTATTAATCGCTCTAACATTCAGACCATGTAACAATAGTAACACTACCTGTGGAGTAACGTACTGATTTGTCTAGACTCAGTGATTTCAATTACAACTGAATTATAAGGTCAGAGTGTGGTGCCCTAAAATCTACAATGGTCTTAAGCGCACAGTAATCATAAATAAACATGAGTGGGCGGAGCTTATGTGACCACGTCACAAGGCAATGACAGACGAAGAAGCGTTGGTCAACTCCCTCCACTAGTTCCGCGGAAGATACTGTGCCGTGTATGTGACGTAGTGACATAAGCTCCGCCCACTCAGGAATATTCATGATTTCTGTGCACTTAAGACCATTGTAGGTTTTAGGGCACAACATATGTGTAACAAGCGTACATGTCAAACCAAGTTACGTTTAAAGATAAAGTTGCTTTAAAATACATTACTAGGTGCATTCGCGTCGATAGCTTATTGTTAAAATGATTGGCAATATACTTTACATGTGTATTTTATACAGTATAGATTTCCTTCACCATAATATCTATGGGACCAGCACTGAAATGTCAGGCTACAACTTAATGGCATTCCATATGACTGTACTGAACATGTGTGTCTCGGTTAGGAGATTCAGAGCCATAGGTTATACGTGCAGCATAACGATAATTAGACGTGCTGTTTCTGTATTGCCAAACATAACAATGTAATGTAACAAACACTCATAAGAAATGTAGTGTGGAAAATAATAATGATTATAATATACTTTCCAAAAAAAGAAACGCATATAGGAATTTCAACTGTATTTTTAAGTTTATTTTGAAACGTCTTGTAGGCTTTATGAGTCAATGAAATATAGCGAAATTGCACACTGGGAATGCAGACTTATCCGTCTTTGGCACCAACTCGAGGAAAGTCAGTTTGAGTGTCACATGGAGACGTTTGGTGGCGCTGAAGTCAATACCTCGTGTGACCACCGTGGGCATCGAGAAATGGATGCATCGCCTCGGCATCGAACGAATAAGTTTCAGAATCTCGTGTTGCCCAATCGCAGCCCACTCTGCCTGTAGTGCCTGTACGACTGGCTGAAGTGTCTGGGGCTGAGGGTTACGGCGTCGCACCCGTCTGTCCAGGGCATCCCACAGATGTTCGATCGGGTTTAAGTCGGGTGATCTTGAGGGCCAGGGGAGCACATTGATGTTGTGGTTCTGGAGGAAGTCTCTAGTGTGACGTGCTGTGTGGGGCCTGGCATTGTCCTGTTAAAACAACTCCCTCTGGCGATCAATGATTAGAAGGAGGTGTGGGCGTAGGATTTCGTCACAGTACCGTTGAGCTGTCAGGTTGCCCTGGATCATCACAAAATCACTTCTCCTACGGCAGGTGATAGCCTCCCACATCATAACACTTCCCCGGCCGAATCTGTCCACCTGGGGAACGCAAGCGTCGGCGAAACGTTCACGTCGACGTCTGTACACCCGCATTCTTCCATCGCGTCGTTCCAATAGAATTCGTGATTCATCACTGAACCAGATCCTACGCCAATACGGTAGGTTCCAGGCCTGTGAAAAAATATGAACCCCGATATGTTCGCCCTCGTAGGTAATAAATATGTATATTATGTACAACATATACAACATACGATACACACGTTACACTGAATCTCTTCTCAATATACAAGCGCAGAAAGTATTGATACAGTTTTGTAGCATTAATATTTGATTGTAGCCATTGTGGAAAATACAGTTGCCTTAAATCATTTTATACAGGACAAAGAAATAAAAAGTATAATTCATTCTCTACAGTATTACAAAATGGACAGAACCTTTGTGAGTTTATAATCGATGAATATCTTCCTTGGTGGATATATAAACCATTTAGGCCAAGTCTCAGGCGTATGAAAACATTACGAAGCTTTTTTATTACGTAAGTTGTATAGATACGACTCAGGTTCAAGTAAAGATTTAAACTCAATCATATCTTGAATTTTCATATAAAGATGAATGCCAGTCTTGTTTAAAGATATCGATAGCCCTGGTACGAAAATGTTTGATAATGCATTAGCGCCTCAGTGTGTTGGAATGACAACAGAGAAACTTATGGTTTTGTGCCTCACGAATGGCGTTTGAGGTCACTAGAACGTTTTAGACTCCCTTAGCGATTACTTGTTTCACTCGTGTCTTCAATGAATTGCTGGTCAGCTAAACTTGAGATGTGTTCGCAAAGGCAGGTGCTGACCCCTGAACCTCAGAACTATTTACATCAGAAGAGGAATATGTCAGGGCGATTCATTCAGTCTTTTCTTTTCTGTTTGTCACGAAATTGTTTCAATTGTTTGCTAAACAAAGAGGAGGGTTATCATCCTTGACTTTCTCTGCACAGATCTCCACGACCAGAGTGGGGGCATTGACCATCTTATGGAAGGTCGGGCCTTTACCAAGGGAAGCAGGTTAGAGAAAAACTCCAGAAAGCCCATGTAAAGAAAAACCTCAAGGCAGAATATAATTGTAATCTGGAGTTAAAAGCTGAAGTTTAGAGTTCGTTACAAAGACAGAGCCACAAATGTCCGTCCTCCCATATTCTTTTGGTGTCGTTGATTGGACGAAACGAGAAATTAAGAACACTGGCACTCAGATCAGAATCATATCAAACAATAGAGACCACCATCCTCGTTTTTCCCTCAATACTTCAGGTTTGTCATTTCTAATGGGAGGGCGTGGCTTGATTAACGCGGAGGCTCTTCATGAGAGAATTGTATTCTGCACTTTTGCACATATCTTTTTGTATGTCAAGGCTCACGATGATTTCAAAGCATTCTAAAAAGTTATCTAAAAAGAGCCAACCAAGCGAAGTTCCATATCAAATCGGCACAGATTTTGTGTTTCAATGGAAGGCTCTGCTGCACCGAGTGTACGCGTAGTGTGTTGAGGAGATTAGCAACCTTTGCGTGGATGAAGTCGGCTGGCCTGAAAAGTTAAACAGAAGGCTTTCTGTCAGCTGTTCAGGACCAGTCACTTCCCACACGTAAACGTCAGTGTGATTTTACGTCAAAATATAAATATGAAACAGTATGCAATGAATTTAATGAGACATTGTCAGTAGATGCTAACCAATGGCAGAGACACAGTATCTAAAGCGGCATGATGGCGTGGCTCGGTCACGATTCCATGCGAAGTACCAAGTTGTCCGATTCGCCACTGTTCTCGGTGCCTTTGGTTGCCTCCGCCGCGATCACAGCCCTTCTGCCACTCTGGGTAATGCAGCTGAGGTGGGGTGAGCCTGACTGTGCCGGACCACCCAACCACCTGTCTGCTTCATTTTCTTTTAGCCTGTAAACGATAGCAGCAGCAGCAGCAGTAGTAGTAGTAGTAGTAGTAGATGTGCATTCAGGTTAATAATTGACTTGCTTTGTATGTGTTTGTGCCACCAATAGGTCATCTTCTTGCAAGCCCCTTGTATTATCACTATTCCATAGTGATTCATACACACATGCTTACGCTTACAATTCTCCTGTTGTGAGAGATTTTTATGATCATATGGAAAAGGCTTTTGCCGCTTCTATTTACAGAAGCCTAATCGGGGAAACTATCAACACATTGGCTGACTGACAAATCGTGACCGCCTTATCGTGTGCGTGTGTGCGTGTATGCATGTGTTTGACAGTACTAGTATTAACACGCTGATATACCCGGTCTCAGTCACGTATACATCTAGTCGATGTATGAGACAACTCTTGTTGGAGCACCTTTATGCAGAGCGTCTGTCTGAAAATGACAGTTGAATTCATCATGTTCGTCTTGGTCCACTGCTAATGCCTGTCTTTATTTACTTCAGTTGTTTACGTGGAGGTGATCCGGAGCAAGGCTGACGGTGATTCACCCCATTTGGACCGGTCCAAGAGGAGGACGACTGCCCATGGCAGCTCCAATACCAACAAGATACCGGTGACTGGTTACACAGGTGGCATCAGCGGCGGGTAGGTGCACACACTAGTTGTAGCGGTATTACATGGGTTTAATGCGTTATGTACCCTGGCTTGGTTTTACTCCTCTTGCCACCTGCTCGTGGTATGAATCCTAGACATAAAACTACTTATTCCAAATGGTTCCAAGAAACCGATGTTTCAGGAAAGTTGTTCGTACTATCTGATACCCTTGGTCAATAATTAATAGTTACTGACGCCCTACTAGGACAATAGTTGATAGTTAATGATGACCTAGGACAATAGTTTCTAATTCCCTGTGCCTTAGGACAATAGTTTATAGTTACTGACGCCCTAGGTCAATAGTTCTAAGTAACTGATGTCCAATGACAAGTTCCTATGGCAATGGCTCCTAGTTACTGACGCTTTCGCTTGTCACGTCGAACACCCGGGTTCTATACCCCATATGGGTACGATGTGTGCAGCCCATTTCTGGTGTCCCCTGCCATGATATTACTTGAATATATTTCAAGGAACTGATCCCGTAGGATAATGGCTCCAACTAATTGTTTCCCAGGGATAATAGTTCCTGGTAACCGATGCCCTAGGAAGCGGTTCCAAGTAGCGCATGCCGCGAGACACAGGTTCATATAAAGACAATTTCTATAGACCTTGTGGTATTTCGAAATTAAAATTCTTGGACAGCAGAACCTATGTTTTCAAACATATATTAGAGTCAGTGAGTGACTTTAGTTTTACGCCACACTCAGCAATATTCCAGCTATATGGTTTCGGTCTGTAAATAATCGAGTCTGTATGAACTGTATGAGCATCGATCTGCGCAATTGGGACCCGACGACATGTGTCAACCAAGTCAGCGAGCCTGACCACCCGATCCCGTCGCCTCTAACGACAAGCATGGGTTACTGAAGATCAATATTCTAACCCGGACCTTCACGGGTTTGACGTTGAGATTCTGTACAACATACTCAATATAGAGTGTAACGAATAAAACTGAGCCTAAGTTTACTTAGACTGGTCAGCGAGCCTGACCACCTGATCCTGTTAGTCGCCTTTTACGACAAGCATGGGTTGCTGAAGATTAATTCTAACCCGGACCTTCATGGGTCACATACAGTTGAGCACCGTTGTGTCGAACTCTGATAACTCGATATCTCGGTTGTCTCGATATAACATCTCAGTCCCAGCAAAATCCATCATAATTTATCAGTAGTATAGGGAATGGGGGTTTTGGACCAGTTCCAACAAAAGCCTCTGCAAAGCCTTATTTCACAGATAAGGCTTTAGTCGGACCCTTAGCTCTTGCTACCATTACCCCTACTATAAAAAAGTTTGGGACGATAGCGGGATACGAACGCCCAATGTTACAACTCCTAGCCGCACCACTTAAGCGACTGAGCTACCGGGGATATGGTTGAAGTATGTTGGTTTAACGGGTCTATCCTGGGATTGCATCATCCAATACTGGGCTGCGTCTAACGTGCCGCTATGACACTATTGTGCCGCTATGCCATGTTTACCTCAATGAAACAGTTTAATGTGAATCGCCTATGATCTCTTTGGTGTTCGTTATAAAGGCTTGCTGTTCTATGTACTTTTTTTTTTCTCGGCCTCGCTGATAGCAGACTAACGAGACTTGGATCGAATCTCTTGTTTCATTTTGTCATATTTTGTGAGTTCAGAGAGGATTGAACGAAACTCCTCCTCTGAGATCTTACTGTCAGTGAGTGCAGTGGAAATACACTCACTCACCGTGTTCAGCTTTGCTTCGGCCAGAACCCTGATCTCATCGTGTTTCAATGCTTTACGATGCAGTCTGCGGGATACAAGCTTAAGTCCCAACCCCAACACCCCTGTCACCCCAGCTGTTATTTCGAGCCCCATCACTATAGGTGCGGCCACGATGGTAGCTAACAACCCAACACCTGCCACCCCTAGGCCCATGCTGGCTGCCATAAGGGTAGTATCAGTCCCGTCCACGGCATTGAAAGCTCTATGATACTTCTTATATAGTGCTTTCCGCTTGTCGCGGTCTTGTTCTAGTTGACGTTTTACATCGCATAACTGTCTCAAGCGGAACCCGTCTACGGTTTCCAGGGTCTTCACTACTTCATCTATGCCTGGGTACAGTCCCATCCTATAATATATATTACAAAAGATATTTTAATTGGGTTTCAGTCAATAACCGATCTAGTTTCCAACTGGTGTTCTGGTACTAGTTCAGGTATATAGTTCAATCCCGTAATGTATTTTAATTGGGTTTTATTTAACCTTCGATTAATGTACTTAAAGCCGATAATACTTAGATTAACGTGCGTGTAAAAAAGCGGGGTCTTAGCTCTACGTCCATTAAGGAGACGAACCCCATCAAGACTTGGTACAGGGTCGTTTCCCGATACCTTAATAATACAGCAACGTTGGTTATTACACCTGTCTTCCCAACGTATAATCATATTATCTATAATGTCAATATACTTACCAGGTGGTAGACTATCTCCGAGATAGACGTCTATGAGGAATGTGAAGTTTTCCACGATATTTCTAAAGACCTCTTGGTGCTCAAGTAAGCTGATTGATGTCTTCACTTTCTCCTTGGAAGTTACCATGTTGCCCGAGTGGTTTGGTATTGGTGCGATATATATATTAGATTCCTGAACTAACGCTCCTGCTGCAAATATACTGTTGCGGTTCGGAACGAATGCTCCTATAATTATGCCGTTGTTCTTAATTTCGGAGACAGTACCATCTTGTCTCAAGGTGATATAAGGTGCGGTGAGGGTTAAGTTGATTAACCATTCAGGCTCTTTAAAATCTGATAACGACACCCGCCTATACACGTTGTCTTTGAAGTGCAGGATGTATAAGGTGTCTTCCTCACCAGGCTGGTCGAATCCCTCTGTGTCCCCTAAGTCGTTAAGTGTAGTGTTGTGGTGGTGCCTAATCATTGTTATAATACTATTACGATATAATTTCCAACTGGTTTTCTGATAATAGTTCAGGGGTGAAGTGCACCCCCATGAAGTGTATATTGTCGGGTAGGAATATCTTGGTTAGTGATATCGTGTCTTCCATGATCACGTTGACTCCCTGCAGACTGGTTTTGGAGTCGGCACCCACCCGCACGTAAACGTTGCAAACGTGATACTGTTGTTGTTTCCCCCACCGGAGTTTGACCCCCTTCACGATTTCAACATCATCCCGCGATGGTTCCCCTAGGTAGACTTGGATGATAAGTGTTGAGTTCGCCGGTAGACTCTCCAGTATCCTGACCACGCCTTCGAATTCAGCCACCAACTGCAATACCACGTTTTGCATGCCCGCTTTACTCGATAGCATGTGGGCTGCTATACTGGCGAGTGGGCTAATGACTACACTACGTCTCTGAGTCGGGATGTAAGCCACGAGCAGGGTTCCGTTGTTCACGACTTTGTTTAGGTGGTTGTCTTTGTTATCCGTGAACACGTAGGGGGAGCCGAGCCTAATGTTGAGAAACCAGTCGGTCTTATCGGGTAACAACACCCACTTGTCATCGTCGGTGAAGACGAGCGTATATGGCTTGTTTCGGGTGACGGTAGTGCGCTCAACATCGTCTAAATCGAACAGTTTACCTCCGAACGATGGGTATATTATCCAGTCATCATCACCGGTGTTGACAAGGGTGTACTTAGTGTTGACGACCGCTCTTGTGGTATCTACTATATCACTTAGGTTGTTAGTACCACCGGAGGGGACTTCAACGCGTTTGTAAATGCTGTTTTTAAGTTGCAAGGCGTACACTTTACCATCCACTCCGGGGTCGTCGAAACCGCGTGTGTCCCCGAGATCGGAGATCCCCACATTGATGCATTTTTTCAACTTCATTCCGGGACCTTGTGCGCTGGTCATTTTATGTGCAGCGTTACGCTGAGGTATCCTATATTCACGAGATTATGATTTATATCTAACACCGATATTATCAGCTCAGGGATGTTGCCCTGGGTTAACCTCTTATACTGCCGCGGTGAAAACGACTCGGTTCTGCCGTCGTTGTATTTCTCCGTTTTCACCGGTACGGCTCTCAGTATAGTGGAAGGGTGACCCCCTTGAATGTTGTCCGTTGTGCTAACCTGGCTGAGATGAATGCACAGCTCTCGGTACGGTACTAGGTCGGTAACTTCGTGCCTGTGGCGGTAGTCGTTGGTTTTATCTCGTCAGGCTGTATACCGAAAGTGTCCTCGCCAGTGGTCGACCGAGCCTCAAGGAGTTTCTTCCGTTGTTGATTAACACCATTGTACCGTTTGAGTCGTTCATCTTGAGTTCGGCTCCCAGGGGTTTGACGACCTCGTCGCTTAGAGAGCACACGCTGTAGTAACCGTCAATTATCTTGTTGCTAGCGCCACCTACGAACAGTTTATTGTTGCTAGCGTTGATGTTAGTCCATCGTGGTAGGTAGGTGATATCGCACAGTGCGACTTCGAGTTGACCCGACGTGTTATCGATCGCGTGCGTCAGCTGAACGGCCTCGCCGCTCGTTATTCCTGGAAGTGTTATGTACATGTTAGAGTATATAAACTCATTATATAATAGTTTTAAAATGTACTCCCCTGGAGTGTTTTACCCTAAACTGGACGTAGATTTCCCCCACATGAAGATCGTGGTCGCTGATGGGTTGTATTTCAACACCCAGTTCATAGATGTGTTCGGTCAGTATAAGTTTTCGGTGACTAACGCTAAGGTAGTTCACGCTTGGTTCAACAACCCGATGCAGTTCTGGCAGAATCAACTCAACTTCGCCGTGTGGTGCGCTACAACGGGGTGTGGTGTGGCATTGACCGACACTCGGCGTGGCCCACTGAGTCAGTCTGTGTTCACGTTTCACGTGTACTACCAGGTCAGACGTATCCTCAAAGAGATCAGCGCCCCGCTCCCACAAGAAAAGGCGTGGAATGCAGTAAACAACCAGTACGATAGACGGGCCTACGAACGTATTTGCAACGAATTCGAACTAAACACGAAGACGGATTGGCGTTTGCCGGGACCGAACCACGGGTTGG